CAAGGTCGTCGCGCCATTCGTCTCGGCGAGCTTTGGGGCGCAGTCCAAGTGGAGTACGCGCGTGCTCGTCCTGCTGCTTTTGCCGGTCTTGCTCGCCTGCATTCTGCTTCACGCACTCGTCCGAGGGGTCGTCAACGGTCTCTTGTCGTCCATTCATCTCGCGTGGCGATGGACACGTGTTCTCGTGCGACAGACGTGGCGCGCTCTTCGGGCCATCTATGCCTTTGGGCTGGCGACCGCTGATGCCGTGGTGGCCACGATACGAGCTGTCGCAGCATGTTTTCTTCACATTTGTACGTACAACAACACTGCCAAATGCTCATCTAACGACCTCGTTGTCCCTAGTCGCTGAGATCATTCCGGATGGTGTCACCTACCTCCGCGTCTCGTGCCTCTCGGGGCTGCTCTCGGCGGTTCTTTTCGCCGAACGTCTCCCACGATGCTGCTACGACGGCATCTGGCGCTGCCTTTGCGTCCTTCGCCATCTTCGGTTCCGTCGACTTGGACAAGTCATCCTGACCGTCGCGGAAGCGGCGTATCCCGTTCTCGCTGCCGGCGCCGACAAAGTGCTCGACGGACTCGTCGCAGTCAAGCGCTGCATCGAAGCAGCTATTGCCTGCCTTCGGATGCTCACCGCCTCGGCATGGTGCTGGGCGACAACCACCGCACTTTGCCTCGTCCATACCCTCATCCACCGCGCGCAGGCGATGCTCGCTTGGCTTGGCAACGTCGGCTATGATCTCTGCATGCGTATCGTGTTGCCACGGCTGCAGTCGCTCGCGGTGGCCGCCTGCACAGTTCTCGAACGCACCTACGCATGGCTCCAACGCGCTCCACGACGGCTCTACACCGTGTGTAGCATCCTTGTTCGAAAGCTCATCTCGCCATTCTTGCAAGGTTTCTACTGCGTCCTCTACCAAGCCGTGGACATCACTTGCACCGTGCTCCTCATATTGGATCACAAGCTCTATATTCTCCTCCTCCTCATGCGCGATGCCATTTTGCGTCCGCTCGCACGTGTGATGCAAACCACGGCCCGCTACGTCGGTCGCACGGTACGGCGGGTACTGGCTCGCATCGCCTGCCCCCTCCAGCGTCTCTTGAAAGCCACGGCCACCGCACTCGGGCGTCTGTGGCGCTGCCTGGTCGCCAAGGCCCTGCGATGTCTCGACGTTCTTGTCGCCACAAGCCTTCGCATCATCGCCCGCTGCGTCCGAGCGTTCTGGCGTCTCTGGCGCGGTTTGCACTCCCTTGTCGTCGGGCTTCTCGATTTTGTTTTCCGCCTTCTCCTTGTCTGCAAGAATGTGTGCACGTCGCCGCCCATGATGGCGCTGTATGCGTCGGTGAAGGCACTCCTTGCGGTCTTCTACGCGTCGCTAATGGCGTGCCTTGCAGCAGTCTACGCGTCATCGTTGGATTGTCTTTCTGCTGTCTACACTGCGATGCGGTCTGCGGGCGCCTGGGCGTCGACGGTCACGGTAGCAACGTGGCAAGTGGCAGTGACGACGGCTGAATCGGTGGCGCACGTCACATCGGTCATTGTACGGCAGCTCCTCGACGTCGTCTCCGCCATCGTGTTCGCGGCGGTGCAAGTGGCCTATGATGTGGCTGGTGAAGTCCAGCGCATGAGCTCTTTTGGATCCAAGGCACCGTAGCTCATTCACGTAGCCACTGGAACCTATTTATCATGAGCACAAAGTAGTATACATTGATTTAGACTTTCCGTGGGAACGCGCCAAACGACCCGTGGCGTGTACTTGGGGGTAGGGTAGGGGTAGGTTCCATGCGTCCAGACGAGTGTTGCCGCGCTGCGCTCCCATCAATCGGGATACCCAGTACAACGCTTGCACTCTCGTTTATGTTGTACTCTTTGTCTTTATATCGAATACTAGTACGCGGTAACTAGTAGTCTAAGCTATATTGGACGCTGCACCGTGTCTCGCCCATGGACGTGCGTCGGTGCGTCTCGATGCACACCCACAACCGCGCCGTGAGCAGCAGCGAGAGAAGCAAAAGGACCATCGAGCCAATGACGATCGTCGCGTCAGACGTGCGCGCTGCCAACATGAGCGTGCGACCAAAGCACGCGTCGTACGCTGGGTGCAAGTATTTGGACTTGACGAGTGACGCGCAGCCGCTGCCGGTGGTTTGTCCATCTGCCATGCAGGCGGCAGAGTCGATGCAAAAGGCGCCAAATGACGCTGTCCTCGGGCACGTCGCGTCGATCCACGCCGACAATCGGCTGGTTGAGAGCTTTGTGAGGGCGGCGCAGCCAGCGCAGAGATGCGAAACATCGCTGATAAAAGACGTCACGTGGTCCCTCGCAGCGGTCTCAAGAACTATCGGCGGTAGCTTCACGTCTGCGCAAAAGCGCTCGAGCGTCGTCGTCGACGTCACCGTCATGTTCATCGAGAGGGCACGCGTGATCCCAGCCATGACGTTTTCATTTGGCCACACATCGGAGAAGAGTAGGGTGTCGATGAGCGGCACGTCGCTGCACGTGCGGTCGCTCACACAGTACGCCTCGGCAAACGCTCTTGCGGCCTCGAGAGGGTACGCGTCACTTGTCAGGGCTCGCATGGGACTGGACACCACGCCTGCTGCGCGCAGAACCGTCGCGTAGAAATCGATCGGCCGATGCGGCACCGAGGCGACGAACGCCTCGATCTGTTGCTGGTATGCCGTGAGCGTGGGCGCCTTCTCGGTCGCCTTGATGGTCATCGAGACGCCGTTCACTGCGGCCATCAGCAGCGCGCTGCAACAAGCCATCTCGAGCACGAGGAGGACGAGGCAAAGCGGCAATGAAGGTGCTCTGCGGGTCCACGCAAGATGCCCGAGACCGAAGACGCTCACGGCGATGACGACCACGCTTACCGAGACGGCGTTCGGCAACACGAGGAGGTCGCTGCCGAAAGCGGCGACAAGGGCAATGACCGAGGCGCCGTAGACAGCAAACATGACAAAGGCGGCGGCCAATGCAGCCGTTGTGCGCACGAGCATTGGACGTAAATGGCGCTTGGATGACGGTTTGGTCGAGCGTCGTCGGTCGGGGTTGGAGTTGGAGTCAACGCTGGGTACGTGGCTTCGGCAAACACACTATGCTCTGGTGCACCTCATGTTGACTCCGCAGTAAAGCAGGGCAGTCCAGAGTAAACAGTGGGTGGAGTCGCACTGCCAGTGTATTCTATCCTGCTATGTAGTGGCGCGACAGACCCGTGCAACCGACGGACGCAATGACGGCAGCACAACATTTTACAAAGGACATACAAGTTTGAGTGATAGCATGATCGATTTGACGTGGCAGACCCTTGCAACGGACGAACGCAATGACTCGAGCAAGTAGTGCGGTCGTGGATCATCTCTACGACTCAAAGGGTCAATGACGTGTCAACACTATAGTACACTCCGCTTTGAACCTCCTTCGCATTACATTTGTAAATCAAATGGACGTCCCATCAGGTCTCAGGACGAGTTCTGGGACTGCACACCCGCAGCAACGCCACCTCAGATCTCATTGCTCTCGACTGCAACCGGATACTTCGAAGTTCGATTTTTGAATACGACTTCGATGTCGGCCGACAGCCTTGCCAACGCACTCTGAAAGCAACACGGTGGGAGCAGCAAGGGTGTTCGAGTCCTGTGCTCATGGGTGGAAGTGCAATCGAGACGAAGCGTCTTAGTCGTTAAGAGCTGACGTCCAAACCTCGTAACGCAGGCGCTTCGTTGACCAGCGTATCACTACGCTCGTGCTCACAATACTTGATTCAGTTGAGGAATGACGAGCTGCATTCAGTTGCGAATTGATATCGAGAGAACCACTGCACCAAGGTCTTGACTACACCCAGTATCAAACCCGTCAACGTTATGAGTCCAAGAACAAAGCCGCAAGAGCTGTTTGCATGAGCTCAAGGACGATGGACCCAAAGACGCCATGACCGCCACCCTCAGACGAGAAGACGCTCTTCACGCACGGGGCGCCCGCCATGACTCACGCTACCTGATCCCGTGCACGACAGACCAAGTCGTAGCTTACTTGAGGCAAACACCCGCAACGGTCGGACGACGCACGCCAGACCCGCCAGCCTTGTACATGAACAGTGCTTGTAGCTTTGTTTAACCTTTTACGGGCTATAATGCTTGATGCAGCTGTTGCGTCAAAATCGTAACTGATCGTAACTGCAATGTAAGAAAGTCCACTCGATTCTCGTGTCGACAGCACGAAGAGCTCAAAGATACGCTATTCAGCAACGCACTGATGCCCGTACCCCAAGCGTCTCTTGTACAATGATGCTCCCAATCATCAAGCACTTTGCTCCAGGCGGTTGATACAAAGGATTGATACGAACTTGATTGTGTACAGCGCCATCATGGGACGGTTACGATCCGTGCAATGTGGCGGCTCCATCCGACCTCCCACATCTGATATCGTACCCAATGGCCGACGACGTCCTCAAGCGCGTCTGCGCCGTCGTGACCATCCCCGCGGCCTACTACGCGAGCAAGGACCCGGCCCTCGCGCCCTATGCAGCGCTGCCACGGTACAGTGCGGCGCTCTACATCGGCGTTCTCAGCGCTGTCGCATCGCACGCGTGCCTTGCCACGTGCTACAAGCGCCTGTACGCTGGCGCCGTCAAGCCATGGAAGGCCGATGCGCACAGCATCCACTATGAGCGCGGCCTCGAGCGCTTCCTCGAGCGCAACTACGCCAAGGCCATCAAGCACTTTACACGTGCGATCGAGAGCCGACCCAGCGAGGGGCTCTACTACGCCCGCCGCGCCGACAGCTACCTCATGATGGCGGTACGTCGCACGCTGGCGGCGCTCACCTCTCACCTTGCTATCTTCGTACAGGCGCTTCAACTGGCCTACAACGACTATATGAGCGCTTCGCTGTTATCGCCCGACGACGACGACGCCAAGGTCCGCGGCGCTCGATTGATTCGCCGCCTCAATGCACTTCGCTATATGTAGGCGCGCGTGGCGACGTGTGCTGCCAAGTTCCCATCGCCGCCCGCGTACACGCCCGAGACGCCGCCGCCCTCTCGGTCCTTCTTTCGCCGGCTCCTCCAACGTCACGGGCCTGACACGTCGTCGACCAAGCCATGGACGGCCACGGCGCGCGACCTTGTGCTCATGTTTGTGCTGACGGTTCCAGTCTTTCTCGTTGTGTACACATTTGTCTCGATCGCTGTCGACGTCTCGCTAACGCTAGCGTCGTTTGTTGGCTACTGCTGTCGCGGCGTCGGTCGCCGAGCGTGGCGCCACGGTACAGTGCTCATAGTCGGTCTTGTCCTCACCACCCTCTTTTAGCGCTGCGCCCGGCCGGCATCGCACTCGCCCCACTCGCAACGACGATACTCACAGCCATCGGCCAAATCTTTGACTGCGTGGCTCGACAGATCGTCACGATTCTCCGACTCTTGCATGGGCCGTGTGAGCGCATGCTGGCAGCCATCTTCCGAGGCGTCGGGAGGCTCTTTGAGTTGCTGACACACCCGCTTGGGCTTCTGCGCTGGCTTGTCACGACGCCGATCTCGATGGCGTGGGAGCTTCTCCGTGGCATTTTTCATGCACTCAACGCCGCCATCAGCCCCGAGACCAAACGCCGCGTCATGCGCTTGGCCTCGGACCTCGTCGAAAGCTCAACCAAGGTCGCGCTGCACTGCCTCAGTGGACTCTGGAACGTCCTCGTTGTCGTTGCTCGCATTGCGCGGCAACTCGTTACGCTAACGTACGATGTTGCTATCGCACTTGGCCTCCCGACCTTGGTGACTTGCATCAACCAGCTCGTCGCCTCGCTCCTTGGGAGCATCTATCATGTCGTTCAGAGCGTCTGTGGCCTTGTGGCCGAGCTGCTCCAGGGGATCCTCGGCATCTTTGGTAGCGCTTTGTTTAATTTCAAGTAGTACATGTATCCTGGTTGAACACCGCGCCAAGTTGAAGTGGAGCACGAGCCAATCATATGCTCGCAATATATAGCGGGCCAAGTAGCGGGCCAATGAGCGGTCACCAACGATTCGATGTTTTTTGCGATCTTGACGACGCTCGCCCTCGGGGCTCATGGCTGCACGACGATCGTCGTCGGGCGAGAGGTATGTCTCCGACGCCACTGCCAGCGCTGCCTAAGCCCGCCTTGTAGGCCTCCACGACGGGATCGTCCATGGTGACGCACGCGGCCGACTGCAGCAGCTGCGACTTCCGCATCGGGAAGGTACCGCCCAGGACGCATACTGCCGGCGCCCAGCGGGCCATTGCGCCGTTCCGTCTCGCCTACCCTCGCTATGGTAGACACTCTCGGGGATCTGTATGCGATGACGTTGGATTCTAGTTGGCGACGATCGCGGTGACGTGTTTCGCCTGGCCAACGTCGATACGTCCACCTTCAACTGGACGGCCACGAAGCCGCTGGGGCAGATCCCACAAGCGCCGACGACGTTGGGCTACATCTCGGGCGTCTACGGCGTCATCAACGAGCGCCAGGTTGCGATCGGTGAAAGTACGTGTGGCGGTCGGCTCGTGAGTCTTCCGAAGTCCATGCCCGGTGGCAACGCTCTCTTCGACGTCGCTGAGCTCACCAACGTGGCCATGGAGCGAGCGGGTACGGCTCGCGACGCTATCTTGCTCATGGGTGCGCTCGCCGAGACGTACGGGTACTATGGCGCTGCCTACGACACGCCCAACGCACTCCTCGAGGCTGGCGAAGCATTGACGGTCGTCGACCCGAACGAAGCATGGATCATGCATTTGCACCCGGACGACACGGGCGCGTCGGCCGTCTGGGCCGCGCAGCGCCTTCCGAACGACCACATTGCGGTGGTCGCCAACCAGTTTACGCTGCGGACGCTCAACCTCTCGGACCAAACGTCCTTTCTGGCGTCGACGAATGTTGAGGACGTTGCGATCCGCGCCGGCTTGTACGATCCCTCGGTCGACGGCGAGTTCGACTGGACGGCTGCGTACGCGTACCGTCGTGACGGCTTCAGTGCGCCCAATCACTACTACGCCACGCGACGCATGTGGCGCGTCTTGACGCTCGCGAACCCGTCGATCGAGCTCTCGCCGACGACCGACATGCTTGCAACCGACTATCCCGTCTCCGTGCAGGTGGGTTGCGATGCAGTCGATCAAGGACGATCTGTACATAGGTGGCAGCGCCGCTCTCGCCGTCAACGCTCCTTAGTATCCATCGCGATCACTACGAAGGCACGTCCTTCGACTTGACGTCCGGGCCCATGGCCGGCCCGTACGGCTCGCCCGATCGCTACGGTACGGCATCTTAGTCGAATCTTATCGCGAAATGTATATACTACCGTGTCTAGATGTCAACGGCAACGGGAACATGACCAAAGCCGACGCGCTGCGCGGCCACCAAGAGCGCAGCCTCTCGATCTTCCGCGCCGCCTACTCGTTCGTCGCGGTCTTGGACGCGGCGGACCCGCGCGCTGCCCACATTTGGTTTGGCCCGTATGCGCCGCACGCAACCGCGTACGTGCCCGTCTTTGCGTACGCTGACGCCGTGCCATCGGCGTTGGCGACCGGGTCGCTTCAGGTGTTTTCACCTGACGCCATGTACTGGAGCGCCGCGCTCGTCGGCAACTGGGCCGGGCGCTTTTACGCCCACGCCATGCCGTCGGTGGCGGCGGCGCAGGCAAGTATCGAGACGGCGCTGCGCGCGACGTTGGCACGCGTGGTGACGCGCTTGCAGACGGAGAGCGACGTGCGCGCCTTACTGACCTCGTCGAGCGCGTCGATGGCGGCGACAACCATGACGACGTACGCGTCGCTCTTCCAGCGTCTCGTGGTCGAGTTCCACGACGGCTACCACATGCACGGCCTGCACGCAATGACGCTGTCGCCCGACTCACTCTTCTACCCCGAGTGGTGGTTGCGCCAAGTCGGGTACTTTGCGCCGCCCGACCACGTCCAAGCTAACGCAAGCCGCTTTGTTTGGCTTCTCGGCTGTCTTTTTGCTGTCCTCGTCACCTTTGGCGTCGTCTGGATGGGCTTCACCCTCGGCTCCAACCTTCTCATGCGCCACAGCCAAGGCTACAGCAGCATTCTCTAGTGCTTCAAAGACGTAATGTAATAGCACTGTCGCTAGCCTTCTAGTCATAGTGCCTATGGCTCCTCTCTTACTTGCCTCTTCACAATGCTCCAGCCCTTGGCCTTGGGGCTCAGCATCGATCGACGATGGGCGGTCGACGGTCGCGTTCGGTGGCGGATCTGATCGGCTTGAAGTTGCCAACGACGTTCACTCTGCTGACATTGCACTTTCTTTTTTCGCGATGCTCGCCAAGTCGGTCAAGTCGTCGGTCGGGAAGCTCGCGCCGGCCTCGAGCGTCCTCTTCGTCTGCGACATCCAAGAGATCTTCCGCGACCGCATCTACGAGATGCCCTCGGTCATCGCCGGCGCCAAGACCCTCGTACCACCTATCGAATGCTGCAGGATATGTCATGGAGCGCTAGGTGCAAGCGGCCAAGCACCTCGAAATGCCCCTCATCGCCACGACGCAGTACGCAGCGCGCTTTGGCGCCATGGTCCCCGAGGTCGAGCTCCCAGCCAACCTGACGGTCCACGACAAGACGCTCTTTTCGATGCTGACGCCGGCCGTCGACGCCGAGCTGCGCGCGCTCCAGCCGCGCTCGGTCGTGCTCTGCGGCATTGAGAGCCACGTGTGCGTGCTGCAGACGTGCCTCGACTTGCTCGAGGCCGGCTACGACGTGCACGTGCCTGTCGACGCTGTTTCGAGCAGCACCTCGTTCCTGCGCTCGATGGGTCTCGAGGTACTAGTCCGACCGCTCTGTTTGCATTCTCATCCGCTTCCTTTCCTAGCGCATGCAGGCGTCGGGCGCCTTCTTGACGTCGGTCGAGTCGGTGGTCTTCCAGCTCACGGCCGACTCGAAGCACCCCAACTTCCGCGCCATCTCGAGCCTCATCAAGACGCACACCACGGCGCCCCAAGGTCTCTCGCACTTGTAACAGAAAGATCGCCGTCCCAATAATAAAGCAAGATGCGTCGTCGTCTTGTGTGCTACGTAGTCCTACCCTAATCCCACGCTACAAAGTCTCCCGCTGCTTAGAGCTCCCGCGGGAAGTCGAACACGAGGTTCGACTCGGCCTTGGGATCCGCGGGCGGCTGGACAAACTACACATAAAAAGGGTGAAGAAATTGTCAAAAATAGGGATCGAAGCGCGTACCTGCAGCTGCTGGATAGCTTGCTTGTTGACGCGGGTCCATTGCACAAACTTTTGTAGCTGCTGCGCGTTCAGCGGTGCGCGGAAGAGGTCGACGAGCCCCTCCGAGTTGGGGAAGTGCAGCCACTCGTGCACGTGGAGCGCTGCAAAGCACTTCTCGACTATCGCGAGCCGCGTCGACTCGTTGTGGACGCTGTTCTTGACGCGTGTGAGGCGCGCGCACTGCGCCTCTGTGAGCCCGAGCGTGTGCTTGAGCTGGAGAAACTCAGAGTCGTTGGTCGCTGCGAGCGCTACCATCCAGCTCTCGTCGTTGGCTTGGCGAATCTACGAGGTCGTGCTCGCAATTGCAAAAGAGCAAGGACGTGAGGTACCGCCGAGGCATTTTGCGAGTGCTGCTTCAAGAGCAGCGACGTCTGCTGGTGCTTGGTGTCCCGCGTCATGTTGACGCTCTGCTTTTGCTCGCCTAGATTTAGTTGATAACTAAGATGACGACTAAGAAGACGAATGAGACGTGTACCGCTGAGGGCTTCGAGGAGGAGTTTGTCGTTGCCGCAGCCAAACTTGTGGCTCTTGACCTTCTTCAGAATCGTCTCGAGCTCCGAGACTTCCATCTCGTACGTCTCGACGAGGCCCTTCTTCTTTTCGCGGCGAAGACGCGCGGACGCGCGGTTGCGCTCGAGTCGTCGCTGCCGGCGCTCTTCCTCTTCTTGCAGCTTTTGGTAGATGCTGAGCAGCTCCGGATGTTGCATGATGTTGCGGATCTGCTCGGCGCCGATCTGCGATGCGTCCTTGCCCGTCATCTTTGCGAGCAGCGTCGTGTCGAGCGTCAAGCCTTGCGTGCCCTCGGCAAACTGCTGCGGCGTCACCGTGTTCTCGTCGCCAAACGCCGGGCTCGCGGGCTCGGGCACAACCGGCTTGGACGCGTTCACCTTTTCCTTCATGTAGAGCATCTGCGGCGGCGTCTTCCATTGTCCCTTGGGCGCGTGGCGCTTGCCGCCTTGGCCGCGCTCCATGTCGGGGTCCCGGCCGCCGTCTACGTACGAGGCCGACGCGTTGTACCCATACGGCGCGGGCGCCATCGCCGGGTTCATGCCCATGTTGGGCGGCTGTAAATACGACGAGACGTCGTCCGAGTACATCATTGCGCTCGAGTGCGCCGGTGGTGCCATGGGCATGCCGTAGCCGTTGTGGTGCATCTGCGACGACGGGTGCATGCCCATGGGCGGCGCGTGGCCTTGCGGCGCGTGGGCGTACATCCCGCCCATGTTGCCGTTGCGCTCCATCATGTGCTGGCGCTGCAGGTTCATGCTCCGTTGCTGCTGCTGCTGCTGCATCTGCTGCTGCTGCTGCATCTGCTGCTGCTGGTATGGGTCCATGGTCTTCTCGTCGTACGCCGGCGCCGAGGCCAAAATGCAGCACTGTTGTTCAGTCAGTGCTGGTCATTTTATTCTCTTTTTTTGTCCAATTTTTATTCGACTTACAAACATCAAGTTAAACACGAGGTCGGTGAAAAATGCGTGCAATAAAAATGCAGTACCACCGTAATTCGCTCTTTCAAGGTCTCGACCGCACAGCGCTGGAAACTTGCCTTGTTTCTTGTATACACTTTGCCAGATGCTCGCAAAAAGGTCTTATCTAAGAGATTGCCAAGCGACGCACTCGCCACCTGGCCGCCTGGCGGACCTCTGACACCGATCGTGGCAAGCGTCGAGCGACGACGACAGCCCTTGCCAGCGTCTCCGCCTCCGCGTCGCCAGGACTGCCTCGCCGCCCGACGTTGCGGCAGCTAAACGGGCGCGGAATGGAAGCGAGCTTGGGTCCAGTGTTCGAACGCGTTCGATGGGACAGACTGCTGCATTGCTCACGGTTGCACAGTGTATATTAGAGCGCTTTGTCGATGGCGGTGCGCATGGCTGCTAGCATCGCTTCGCACGACGCCTTGGTCTCGGCTGCGCACGCCTTCTCGATCATGCGTTGAAACATTGTGCTCTTTGTAAAGTACACGGCCATGGCCATCTCGACTGCGCACGTCGTACTCGACCCCATGCTCCCAACGACCGTCGTCCGCGACTCGACGACAAAGTACGAGCCGTACGGAACATCGAGGCTTTCGTCTTTGGCGAGGACCTCGAGGTGGTCACATGACCGGCGGTGGTAGACCTCGCACGCGTGCACGCGCGTCGAGCCTGTCGAGAGCGCTGTCTCGACGGGCAGTTGAATGCGTCGCGACCGCCCGTACGCGCCGTCGGAGCGGACAGTCCAATGCGAAAGCGCCACGTCCGTCGCACCGCGCTGCGCGAGAAACGCGCGCGTAAAGTGCTCGTCGCTGACGAAGCGCTCAAAGTACGTTTGCACCGAGATCGGCAGCGTGCTACGGGCCATGACGGCAAACGCCGAGGCGGGCGCGCCGAAGAACGCAATGGGCGTCAGCAACGTGCGCGGCGTCTCTTCCAACGTTGGACGCGTTGTCGCTTCATGGTTGCTGTTGTTCTCGTCGTCGTCCTCATCCTGGAGGTCGTCTTGGGTGGATGCAAGTGTCTTCGTGGCCGTCAGCGCCTCGAGCCAGAGAGCATGGAGACGCGCCGTGTCGGCTTGCAATAGCACGCGGTTGCTCGGCCATGTGAGGCAGATGCCATAGCGCATCGAGTCGTTTCTTGACACGGTGCATTGCGAGAGGTGTGCAATGACCTCGGGGGTGCGCCGGTCCGCCTAGTGTATGTAGCCACCATCAGCACAATCACAGCTCGAACATGCTAGCACGAGCAGAACCTGGAGGGACATGAGCGTCGACGTTCCGTTCTCGAGGTAAAACCAGCGGCGCGTGCGAGCCGACGTTCCGTCCTCGACATGAAAGAGGTACCCGCGAGGAGCGCCCGCCCAGATATCGACGATGTCGCACGCCTCAAGCGCAGCGCAGTGGACTTCCAAATGGCGTCTTCGCCCGACGACAGCATTCGCATCGTGGGCCATGGCGCAGCCGGTGCGCTCGACGACACAAAGCGCACGCAAGAACGCCTCGTTGACATGCCGCACCGTCGAGAGACGCGCCGACTCAAAGACATGCCGCGCCGCCTCGAGACGCGCGTCGTCGCCCACCGCGTCGGAGGTGGCCTCGTGCGCCATGGCCCAGTACGCATAGAACGCGGCGTTGAGGCGCTCGCGCGAAGCTGCTGCGTCGCGGCCGAGATCGTGCGTAAGGAGCGTCTCGAGTGGTGCAATAAACTCAGTCGCGAGGTCGGACGAGAAGACGCGTAGGGCGTCCATGGAGCGATCGCAGCTGTCGGTCAGCGGCGCCCACGCGCGCTTGGCCGACCCCGCGAGGTGCCGGAGGCAGCTTGTCTCGTCGATCGGCGCCGTGAGCTCCGTGTACAAATCGCGCAGCGTCGCGAGGTGGCACTTGCTGGACGCAAGAGCAGCTTTGGCCGCCGCGACCACTCGGCCAAAGTCCGTGATCAGACGAGGCCACGCGGCGTCGATGGCGGCGACCTCGCGGCGAAACGCTGGCGAGTCGTGTGCATATGCTAGCAAGATTGGTGCTTCGCCGAGCGAATTATCCTCATCGTCTTGATCGTCCGCGTCAAGAGGGTCGTCTTCGGACGCTGTGGAGCTTGCGGAGGACGCGTCAGCGTGTACGTCTGGGAGGCCAAACGCCCGCGCGCCGCTCGCAAAATCTTGGAGCTGTCGCACGAGGTCCACGGCGGCCTCTGGCGCGACGCCACACTCGGTGCAGAGCTCGTCGATCGATGCAGCGCGCAGCTGTGCAATGCATTCGACAAGCGACGGCGCCGCGACGGCTTCTAGTGCAGGATGAGCTTCACATGGACAGTAGGAGCGACGACGTACGCGGTGGCAACTGGGCAGGACGGCTAGGTGTGTCGTCCGACGACGAAAAGATCGACTTGACAAACGACTCGAAGGGCGAGTCCGAGCTGCGACTCTTATTACTGTTGTTGTTGTCGCTGGTGTCGTTGGTCGTGTGCGGCACAGCGCCGAGACGCATGCACTTGGTGGCTGTGTGGAACGTTGCGACGCTGTGCAATGACGCGCTGAGGTCGAGCACTAGAAATGTCATTCTGTGGCTCGCCGTAGAAGCATCAAGAACGTACTTTCGCCCGAGTACATGTCGTAGAGGCCCGAGACAGAGAGCGCGGCAGCATCGCGATTACTGCGGGCGTAGTGATACAGGGCTTCGTGCAGCACCGAGGCCACCGACTTGGTCGTCGCAACGTTGGGCAGCACGACCGTGTGCTTGGCGTCACAGCTCAAGTGCACTCTACACGCCTAGCATGACCCACGTGCAGGCTCTGGCAGCTGGTCACCTACACGATGTTGGCGCTGCGGTCCATTCGTCGATCGCTGCTACGGTGAAGCGGCGCCAAGCGGGATCTTTCAACTGGCTTCTGATTGGCTACGCTGCGATCCCACTTAATTAATAATTATTAAAAAGTACAAATATAAATATTTTACATAAAAAATAATTTATAATTTAAAAATCCTAGTTCAACACAGAAGGGGGTATAGCGCAGTGGTAGCGCGTCCGCTTTGCATGCGGAAGGCCCCGGGTTCGACCCCCGGTTCCTCCAGTATTTTTGCTGCAATTGAAATTGGTTGGGTGCAATCAGTCCACTCTTGCAATGTTTTTGCGCCACACAGCTCGACAACTGCGCCAGGCCGCGCGCTCGGCGGCGTCGCGCTCGAGCCTCGTTGCACGACCGTGGTCGATGCAGCCCCGTACTGGCATGCGCTTTATGTCGTCGTCTTCGGCGCCGGCGCCCGAAGAGCCCACGAACCCGCTGGCCAAGGCCTTTGAGGACAAGGAGCGCTTCTTCGATTGGGACCTCGTCGACATCTTTGCCCAAGACGTCTCGCTGCTCGGGAAGATGGCCATGTTTGTGCAGCTGCACGCTGCCAAGCCCCACGCCAAGACGCCGCTCGACGTGCCAGACTTTATGGACGGCGCCAAGAGCGCGATCGAGATGATTCTCCGCACGGTGTACACGCCCGCGTTCTTTGCCGCGGCGCTGGACCCGGCGGTCGAGAACGACGAGGTGAATCTCCTGCGCTCCGTGATGGGCCCCAAGTGCGTCGAGACGCTCATGATGGGCTTCTCAGAGCTCGCCAAGGCCGGCTGCACCAAGTTTGACTTGACGGATCTCGAAGTCAAGAACGTCGGCCTCTCGAATGTGCTCCTCAAGGACGGCGACGACGAAGCGACCAAGAGCGTGCTCCTGCAGGTTGAATTCACGATGGTCGAGCACGTCACGACGACAATGAAGGGCGAGGATGGAGTTGAGACGCAAAAGGACAACGTCCGCGACGCCGACTGTACATGGGTTTTTGAGAGCGACATTGTCAACGGCGAGCCCACTGCTTGGACCGTCGTCCAGATTGCTTAATGCATTCTACACCTTTTCTTGTGCGAGCGCTTTGGTGTTGCAGCGCTCGACGATCGACTGGTGCTAGGAAGGGCATGTAATTGTACTAGGAAACATTGGCACGGGAGTCGCAGTGTAGTATGCAGACGACATACCAGCAGCATGCATGTGGTATCGGATGCCACAAAGCGGCGACCAAGGGATCGCATCGTCGCCTGGTTTTGGCCCTGGCTTCAGCCGACCGCTTTGACTCTTTGATCTGCTCGCTGCCTTTTTTTCAAAATTTGATAAATTTCTAGAAGATCGCCACATGCTGCGTCGTGCGGTGGTCGTCGCCAGCCGTGTTGGCCCGCGCTCCGCAGCGCCTGGCCGCCCGTGGTCGCGTGCACCGATCATGGCGCGCGCCTTCTCGCTCGATGCGATCGCGGCCAAGACGACGAAGGACCTCGATCGGTTCCGGGCGTGGGATAATGCCGATGTCTTCTCGCCCAAGCTCTGGTTCTTGACCAAGTTTAACATGTTTACAGTGCTCCACACGGCGTTCCCTGCGTCGACTTCGGCGTACGACATTCCCGACTTTCTGGCCGGCGCCAAGGACGCGATGCACACCGTGCTCTCGACGCTCTACTCGCGGGCCTTTTTCGAGGCCGTGACGACGCCGACCAAGACCACTGCGCCGACCGACGAGCTCGCGTTCCTGCACACGATCATGAGCCCCGAGTGCGTCCAGATCTTCATCGACGGCTTCACCGCGCTGCGTGCGAATGGCGCCACCGGCTTTGAACTCACGCACCTCGAGATCAAGGGCGCCCATCTGGACGCGGTCGACCTCGCTGACGATGCCAAGTCGGTGCGATTGCACGTGCTCTTTTACACCGAAGAGCACATTCTCACGACGGGCGTCGTCAACGGAGAAGAGCTCTCGGAGCCATCAGTGCGCGACGACCAGTGCACGTGGGTCTTCGAGTCGTCGCTCCAAGAACCCCTCAAGTGGACCATCGTTGGCATTTGACCCACAGACAATAGTGTCCATACAGAGTCGTTTTTACACGAAACTTACGCGTCATCGCGTTGGATTGTGGCATGCTGCGACCAGTAGGCGACCGACGCTGCATATGCGTCGCGGTTTAGTGGTACGCCGGACCCGCCCTCCGCCTTGCCGAGTGCATTGCGCAGGATCGTGATCGGGTCCATCGGCAGCTCGTACGGCACGTCCTGCGCCTTGATGTAGATGATGCCCCACGGCGCGGTGTCGCTTCTCGGGTCGTTTGCGTGCCCCGTCGCTGCATTTTCGAGCCGGATTTGGCCGCGGCTGTAGAGAATCACGTCCAGATACGCTGCGACGGTCGGTGGCACCACGTCCGCAGGAAACCACCGCGTGAGCCTAGACGGCGCCCGCATGAGATCACAGGCGAATACGACTACGATGCAAATGTAATACACGGGCAGCTCGTGCTCGGCGCGGGCCACGTATGCACTGCGCAAGTGACACTTGTTGGCGTCGGTGATGGCGGCCGTGCTCACAAGCGCGTCCGTAAAGTTGGGCACAAAGAGGTGCTTGCAGAACGGTGCATAGCTAGTACGTGATTCGTATCGTCATTGCATTAGCACACCATGACGCACCCGTCGACGAGTGCGCAATCGCCGGCTGCAAACGCGCAGTTGATGCGTCGCTCGAAGTCCGCCTTGTCCCAGCGTAGCTGCGTCCCTTGGTGCGCTGGATCCTCAAACTGGGCGAGGCAGAAGCGGTCTACGCATCGCGAACGTTCCTCGCGTCGTCACCCGCGCACGCCACGTACCAAGGGCAAACTGCATCTTTGCTTGCTTGGTGCTGTGGGAAAGGCGGTGACGGCTTTGGTTCGGCATATGCCACGAATGCCGAATCTAGCGTGCCGAATCCGCCCATCTCGCGAAGGTTGTCGAAGCATGCAAGCGCTGCGATCCGTGGTGCGGCCGCGGCTGATCGCGCGCACCTTCTCGTCGTCGTCGGCGCCACCGACCTTTGACATCCAGTCCTTTGGCAGTTCGTTCGAGCGCGCGTACGAGGACCGCGACCGCTTCTACCGCTGGGACGAGGACGAGCTCTTCAAGCCCGACATGTCGTTTGTGAAGAAGGCCATGTCGTTCGCCTTGCTGCACCATGCGTTTCCGTCCTCGGGCTTGGATATGCCCGACTTCATCGACGGCGCGCAAGTCGCGCTGGACCTGGTACTTCACACGATCTACACGCCGGAATTCCAGACCTACGTGCGCGATACCTCGGTCACGTCGCCACCCGTGGAGCTGCTGAAAAGTGTCATGTCACCCGAGTGCTTTGATGCACTCGTCGCCGACTACAAGCGAACACCGGTGCGGCCCAACACGACGGTCGAGCTGCAGCAGCTCGACGTGCACAGCGGGCAGTTTAGCCGGCTGCTCCTTGACGGCCAGCAGATGAAGCTCATGCTCTCGGTCTTGTACCACACGACCGAGCACTTGGCGACGACCGAAGCCGGCGCCGCGACGACGACCGAGGCCCGGGATTCGTACTGCCAATGGACCTTTGCGACGAGCATTGCGGACCCGGACAAGATCGAATGGGAGCTCATCGATATGTTTGACGACGACATTTAGCGACGAAGCGAGTAGAGGAATACAGCATTAGCGAATAAAGACTACGAAGATGATGATGACGTACTACTATTTATACTTGGGTAATTGGACTATAAATTAGGGTCTAGCTATTACAAGGTTTGGACAAGCGTCGCGGTTTGCTGCTTCTTTGGCGGCCGGCTGTCGTCCGTCGGCGGCTCGAGTTCGCGCTTTGTCTGGTCAAGGTGCTCGAGGGTGAAGAGAAGTAGCCGAATCTCGGCGAGGAACCCGGGCTGCTGCTTGCCGCCGTGGTGAGTCGCACCAAAGCTCTTGACGTACGCGTGCAGCTTGTCGCGGTTGCGGAGGAGGACCGCCTCGACCTCGTGCGTTTTGTTGGGGTTGGCAACAAAGATCTTGAAGATATGGAAAGCGTCCATCCGCAGCGCGTCGCTCGGCCGGCGGAGCACGCGCAGAATGGTCTTGAGGTGGTCGCGCTTGGAGATGTACTTCATCATGACCGCGCCGTTCATCGGGTCCAGAAGCACCTTGGAGAGGATCTGAAGCGCATGGCGCTGCGTCGCATAGTTGTCCGACAGCAGAAGCGTCTGGTATTGGGCCGTGAAGACACGATCAAACTCAGCCAGGAGCACGGGCACCGAATTCTTGTGCGTGAGGAGGAGACCAATGTTGGAGAGCGCGTCGGACGAGACCTCAAAATGCGGATGGGTGGCTGCGGTCGCCACAAGGAGCTCGAGCTCGGCCGGCATGTTGAGGAGGAACGCGTGGGCGCACTCGATGCGCTCGAGGCAGTCGCGGAGCATGCTGCCGCACACGAGCGCCGTGTCGGTCGACGCCGTGTAGCCCTGCGCGAGGCGCGTCATGAGGGCCACGTCGCAGACAATGGTCGACGACTGGTCACGGTGGACGAGCGCGCGAAAGAGCGCGGCCACCGACTTGCGCGTCTCAAACGAGAGCTGCGACAGGAGCGACGGCGTCACGAGGCGGGCCATGACATGCGATCGCGCGAGCATCTCGGCGACTTGCTTGCAGTCCTCCTCCTTGACCGGTCGGTCCAACATGCCATAAAAGACATGGCGCAGCTTGGCGACGAGGCGCTCGACGCGGCCATTGACGTCGGTTTGGGGCTCGTCCTCCGAGTCGCTCGCGTCGCTCTCGTCTGGCATCGCCACGTCATTGAGGAGCTCATGCAGCGAGGCGCAGAGCGACGTCACATCGTGCTTCCAGAACTGAAACACACTCATCTCGTACTGCGCGGGTGGGCCACGAAATGCAACTGACCTCGCCGCGCCGACGCGGTGAACTAATGTTACACGGGCGCTGGCGACAGTCGGAGTCGCGTCAGTGGGCGCCCGCGTCCGCTGATTGGCCAAAATCCGTGGTCGCCCAGACTTCAATTGGCATGTCGCGATGCTACAATTACGCCACGAGGGCGGTCCGTCTTCTACTTGTATTTTTATTGCGCAACGGTCCAATTCCATGCAAAGAGCAAGTACATGGCGAGATGCGACGATGCAATTTAAAAATTGGCCCGGCGCATTTCAGGCACTTTTTTCGTGCATTTAAATAGATTGGAATTCATTTTAATACCGGCCGCACGTGATGGGGATGGAACCACCATTGCGGAGTTGTACGTGGAGAGTGTGATGGGCGCGCGCCGCCAGAAACACGAAGCTTTGCGTTCGTTGTTGCTTGGTTCTACGAACAAGATTGGACATATATGTGGGCACGAGCGCTAAATTTGCGCGCGCGCTGTCACATACTGGAGCAAGCCAGTCGCATGGGTAAATGTGCGGCTTGCACAACGCCGAGCCGCCAGTCATTATTCTAGGCCTGGCTCTTCGTTCTCGAAAAAGATATCAGTTGAAAAGCGCATGTATTCTTCGCCGCGCGCCTGCAAAGGCGCCACGTGCAGTAAGGCGGACGACGGCGCTCGAGGCGCTTGACACTTTGTGCTGAACCCACGCTCAACTCAGATTGGTGCGAGATTGCACCTTGGCATAGTACTGTGTAGGAGACCGTTGGAGCCAACCTTTTTACGCGGGCACCCAACCCGCCGACTGCGAGCTACGGGCACTGTACGTGCATCGTTGACCGTGGCTCTGGCACGGCTGGTGCGGCAAGCCACTTTTTTTCGTTGCCTTCAACGAACGCGGTCAACGCCGACAGCACACTATTTAAAATGATTACAACCTTGAAATCGTGTGCGAATGAGGTACTGTACCTTCATATCCTTCGCAGCTGCGTGGGTCGGCCCCGTTCGCGCTGCAGATGGACGAGCGCTTTTCCTGAGAGTTCCAGTTGCTGACAGCAGCTTGATTTCTGAAGCGCTGCGCATGCAACCGGCCACGCCGACTCGGGACACATTGGATTGCACAGTATTCGCAAGCAGAACGCATATAGTGTACGATGGACCCAGAAGATACTATTAGTGTGGAGCATCGCCTGTCTTTGGCTGTGGACAAGAGCATCCCACGGGTTCCAAAGATCTCTGCTGACATGAGAGCGAAGGAGCGCAATAGGATGATGCAACGCGCATTCTCCGCGGCCGAGGCTCCGCGATGACACCTGTCGCTTGCCAGCAGGACGTGTCGATCCGCCTGCTAATACTAGTAGAGGGTGCTCGGGGTCAGCTTCCGGGGTCTTCGTGGCGGACCAGGGCTCCATAGCTATTTTACTCCTGTGTCCGACCCGCTCGCTGGCTACTCGGCTACAGCGACCTGGTCGAATCATAAATGTGCACGCATTGAATCCTTGAAGTGTCCGACGAGATGCCGTTGCTGACGTGCGGCATTCCTCCCATGAATAAAAAATGAAACCAACCGACGAAGAAACGACACCAACGTCGCGTCGACGAGTCTGCAGGCGGCTTGTAAAGACTGTGCATTTGTAGACAGGATAACCTTGTCCTCTTGAAGCAAAAATCCTTCGTCTTGGCATTGTAAGTGTTGGAATGAGTGGCGGCGCGGAGGCGGAACCCATGGCAGGAGCTTCCTGGATGCCAGCCCGTTTCGTGGCAGCTCCACTCGTCCCAGACCTGTCAAAAGGTACTCGGTCGCTCCCTGCTTGGACCCAGATTCGCGCGTCCGACATTGTGATGTGACGGGAAAGCGTCGACGCGACCCCACGTGGCCGTGTCTGGTTCGGGCTACTACTGCAAGTCGCACCCAAGTCTGCACGGCGTATCCTCCTCCGTCTTCGCAAAAAGAATTTGAAACAGAATAAGATAATTAGTTGACGATTAAACTACACGAAACGCTCAGTTTTCAAGGCCGAGGTACCGCTTCCCGACCTCGTAGCTCGAAATCATGATGGCACACGACGGCACGATCTTGGCCAGGCGCGCGCTGAGCCCCGTCATGACTGCCGCCGGGCCTTGGGTCCGCACGAGCCGACGCAGCACTTGCGTCGTCGAAAGGTTCAGGCTGCCGTCGACCTGCTGCAGCGTCTTGACCACGTCAAAGGGCGTCGTGATCGTCGCCGCGATCGCGCCGGCCATGGCCCCCGCGCAAAACGACTGTTGGATCTTGGTCGTCTCGGGAAACCGCACTTCGAGCGCCTTCCGGAACTGCTCAAAACACGTCCAGTAGATGGCGCTAAAAGGCACGTCGCGCGCGAGGGTGGCGCTGAGGCCGCGGTAAAGCGACCGGACGCCGTTCTGCTTGATGGCGCCGGTGAGCGTCGAGAGGACGCCGCCGGGCGACGTCGTCTGCAGCTTGGTGCCGTGGCCCTGCATGCGCGTGCGAACGAGCTCGAGCGGCGACACAATGGTCGCGGCCACGATGCGTGCGCTCGAGCCGGCGAGTAGCGGCATCAGAAACGCGACTTCGGGGAACTTCTGCGCGCCTTCGTGCACGAGGTGGTCGTACGACGTATAGTAGAGGACCGTCGAGGGCACCGAGAGCATGAGCGTCGGCGGCAATCCGGCAAAGAGGCCGCGCGCGCCTTCGGTGCGAAAGATGTGGCGCAGCGCATCGACCGTGCCGTTCAATGGCAAGTGCGACGAGTGGCAGTTGGCCTGGACGCAGTGCACGGTCATCTGGCGAAACTTGCACGGGGCTTTCGGCGCCGCGGCCAAAAGCGGGTTGCGCATCGACCGGCACGGCGTGATGCGCGGCGCGTGCTGGACGCACTTGGACAAGCATGACGTCTTGGTCTTGCACGACGCGGTCGTCGAGAAGGCCGACGTCTGCGTCTGTGCCTGGAGGCGCACCTTGGCGACGTCCAGAGGCGTCACAAAGAGCGAGGTCATCATGGCGCCGGAGGAAGCCGCGAGAGACTTCTTCAAGGACGACGTCACGCTGGTCTCGTGCTGGACTTGGCTCATCTTGTCAACTGGAAGGTTCGGTGCCCGCCGCAAATCCCATCGTATAGCACCACACCACGAATATGCGGACCTCTCAAACTTAATATTGACACCAAGGCGCGTGGATTCTGCCAATCAAATGCAAGATCGATTGCGATTGGCTACTGGCATTGTGCAAACAGGCCCAATCGCGCGTGATTGCGCGCGATCTTTGACCGGCTCAGTGCGACGACGGGCGGAGGAAGGTTGCGCGGGTGCGAAACACCGTCATCCAGCGCCGACGGTGGGAGGGAATTCCACTAGGTAGTACCATTGCCCATCACTCAATGGAGAGCGGCGCCCAATCGATGCCCGACAACTACCGTCCACAGACGACGGGTCTTGCCAGAACGAGACGAACGTTGCAACCTTTTGTGATGGGCAAAACGCCTTCCATAGATATCGGAGAATATGACCAGGATCGCCGCCTGCTCTCTGGCAAGCTGCCACCAATGAACGCGGCGGGGCGGCGTACTGAATAGGGGAATTACCCGCGAGAGGTCTTCCTGCATCCCATGAGCGATTAGAAGGAAGCAGGTTACGAGGCACGCGTGGGCGTGGCCAATGAGCCAGCATGATAACCTGTTGCCGCATAAAACATGCTGTACGGGACCGACCGTCTGCAGTGATATTCAAAATGGGCCGCCACGCGTGGGCTCGGCCAATGAGAGAACGGAAGCGCGAGTCTACGCGTGCTCGGTGCCTAAACAGGCGCGTGTTTGTGGTCCACAGACGACACCTTGTCCATCCGTCGGTCATCCCTTGTTTGCACCATTCAATGGCTCTTTCATCTTATTTGTCGTAAGCATTTCATCTTATTTGTCTCGTCAAACCTAGCTTTTTTGGCTCGCGAGCAGCAGCACCTTGGCGTGGTCGTCGCGGTTCGAGAGCCACGAGAGCCACGTCTTGTGCACGAACGAGAGGCCGGCGACGAAGAGGATCTTGGAGTGCTGCGGCACGACCCAAAAGTTGAGGATTTGCGCTGGCGTCCAAAAGAGCACCGAGCCAAACGACGCGGTGTGCCACTCGCGCTTGAGCTGGAGCGTCGTCTCCTCGACGCTCTTGCCCTTGACCGCGTTCGTGATGTAGTAGAACGACGGGATGAGCAGCAGCGGCGTGTGGATGTAGCAATCGATGAACGTCTGGAGCAGCACCGTGCGCGGCGTCGGCGTCGTGCCCATGACCTTGTCAAAGTACAAGTACAAACTCTTGCACGGTCCGCCATAGTAGACAAGGCCAAAGAGGGCGAGGCCGGCCGTGCGCGAGAGGTCGAGCCGACCTCGGTCGTCGGCCTGCAGCATCGTTTGGCAGGTGACGTCCGCGGAGGCCAGTACGCACGACGCCGTGCAGCCCGCCACGACGCGCGGGTACTTGGTGCTCACGGCCTTGTACCAAGCTCGCATCACGCCTGGGATCTTCGTCGTTGCCTTTTTGTCATTGGGGGCCTCAACCGGATACCGGTTACGCCTGCTGCCATGTTGAAGTTGAAGCGCGCCGCAGTTGCCGCGAGAAGAGCGCAAGGTGGGCACTAGCAGGATGTACCGCAGAACCAGAAGAAGACAGCTCTTGTCGGTCATACGCCAATATACATCTAAATGAGCGGTTGACGTTGCAGATCACCTGGCGACGACCTTGCTGTGAACCCTCTGTGGTGGCAAGTAGGGAGATGGGAGGATTCGGTGAAAGCGTACAGAGGCGCAGTTGAGGTCCGAGTGCTCGCCTTCTTTCGCACTAGAAGCACACCTACTGCGCAGAACTTCATATATAGTATTTCGAGGTACAACACACTTCAAATTTACAGATAGCGCTTAGGAATACACGTCGCGCTCCAGAAGGCCGAATCCAAGACCAATGTGCTCGATATAGCTGGCCATTGCGACAGCGAGTGCTTCCGACGTACGCTGGCGCTGGGCCTTGGACTCGTCCGGGTGCAAGTCGACGTCGGCACCGCGCATCGACGCGCCAAACTCGAGCTGGACAGCGTTTGCCCCGGTCGCGCCATGCCCGTACGTTCTACGCAGACTCACATTGTAGGGTCCTGCTGGCATCGCCCTGCGATTGTACCGGACAATGTAGCCACCCAGAAACTCCTTTCGCTCCCTACGAGAGGCGTCAGTTCCCACGATCGTAGCGAGCCATGTACGTACAAGCCCCAGGCGTAGCCGCCGTCTTTGTCCCGCTCAGCAAGTGGGTAGATGCCCAGCCACGCTTGCTCTTGGAGGGCTCCGTGCAAATGACCGAGAAAATACCTAAAAAATTAACACTGAAAAGGACATCCACGCCCTTGACGCGCACCGCTGCATGACGTCCATCGAGTGAATCGTGAGGCCGTTGTGTGTGCCAATATACAGGAGCTGCTTCGACTCGAGGTTCGAGATACCGAGGCGCGGGCACGTGGCGGCACGCTGGCCGTGGATATCGAGCAAGAGCGGGTCAAACATGGGAAATCGTAGCCATATCTCTTGCAGTGCGTGCAGCAGCGTGCTAGTTCCATGCACACAAATCCATAGACTGCACGCTTCTCTCCATGTGGCGCTACCTGTGGTATGTGGCATACATGTGCTGCGTCCACGGCGTGTCGTCCACGTACGCGTCTTCGTTGTGCGCGCGGTTGACGTCGACAAACTTGCGGTGGAACTTGGCAATGACCATATACGGCTGCGCGCCGTCGGTGAGTCCGTCGAGTGCCTTGGACGCGTCTGCACACATATCCATATACGCTTTCTCCGTATCGATATGGCCTACCCGCGCCCACGTGGACGGTGCGCGTGTCGGCAAAGACAGTAAAGCGCTTGGCACTTGTCTTGGACGGTGTGCGCTGCGTCAACTGGGACAGCTGCCACCGACCCAAAGCCGTCGCCGCCGACGTCCCGCCGCCGTGCGGGATTGACAGCACAATCGGAACGTTGCCGCGTCGAAACTCCACGAGGTACGGCACCGAGCTGCAGTCCATCTACGTGCAGTCGACTCAGCACTTGGCGACAAGATGAGTAGTACCGGCAGGTGGGAAGCGATCGGCACATCGTGCAAGGCCTCGCGCGTCTTGCTCGGATGACACGAAAAGACAAATAGGGCGGGCTGCGATGAAAGACCTGCGTCGACCCGCGTCTGCTTGGCGTACAGGAGTCGCCCCAGCGCGATCTGCAGCTCCGCAGCCTTGAGCAAGAAGAGGCTTGCGTCGTCGGTCGACCACGCATACCCCAGCACCGTGTCCGAGGCCTTGTCTACGCAAGCATACGATCAAAGAATGCAAATGCACGAGTCCTCGTACGTGTCTCGAGCATCCGGGGCATGCGCGGATGAAACGTCGTCTGGAAGCCCGAGAGCACGATGGGTGTGGCCGACGCTGTAAATTCGGGAAATGGGTCCACGACGTTGCTAAACTTGGGCACGAAGAGCTGATCCATTGCCTTCGTGGTTGCTGTGCACCAGCGCGCAGCATCGTACGACGCGACAAGCGCTGCGTGGCGCTCCACGTAGGCGGTGCCGCCGCACGCGAGGCGAAGATGCTGCCAGATGCGTCCTAATGGCTTGACTGCGTCGTCTACAAGGAAACGCATGAGCCATGGATCTGTCGGGCGCTTGGCGTACGCTCGAGGAGCACGACTTCAAGGCACGTGGTGACGGGATACAGGGCGTCGAGCGCGCTGAGAGTCCACGCGCGGTCTTCTTTGAGCGTCACGGCGACGTGGCGGAGCGCCGACGAGAGAAGAAACTGCTCGTATTCGATGGTTTTTTCCAGGTGGCGTGTCGACGTCCAGGACGCAGCGCAGTCGGCGTGGCAGCATGCACATGGGCGAATGGTCGCACCGGACTGGACCCAGTGCAGCAGCTGCTGGACGGTGCGCCAGCCATGCTCGCCGTGCAGTCGCTGGAGCTGGCGTAAGACGCACGTGGTCTCGTCGCGTGATCGCGGAGCGTGGGCTTGCAGCCATAGGCTGCGCAGCGGCAGCGGAATCTCGGCCGCCATCTTGATCTTGGTCCCCGGAGCGTTCGCTTGTTCTGCCGAATTTGAAGTTGCGCGGAGATCGAAGTTGAAGATCCGGTAAACCAAGTGCGAACTTCGTAAAAAACGCGCCAACCGCTGACGCGAGACGCGCCACGTCTTTTGACGCCACCCGTTCAACTCCTCTGAGAGGCCAACGCGATACCGCTTCGCACCAAATGATATCCGATCGGTTCATTGCGTCATTGGTGGCCATTTGCTCGAGCGTCACTGGCGCACGTCCATCAAGGCCTCGACCTTGGATGCATTTATACTGGCCGCCTCGAGCTCGAGATGAACGTCGTCCGAGGTAGCTAGCTGCCTTTGATGGAAAAGCCGCACCGCTCAAATGACGTTGCGGTTAGCGTATGAGTGGTGCTTCTACATTCTACGGGCTTCCTTCCATTATACATAACGAGCAACACTCTAAGCATCACCAGGAGAACTGGTTCCAGTATGTGTGTCCTTGCCCTGGCACAAGACGACATACAGGACACCACCGCAAACTGTCGAGCGCTGTGCAATCAAGTGGCCCTTTCGTTTCGTATGAGTGGCCCGTTTGACTCTTCTGTGCATTGTCCAGCATCACGCGTCGCAGCAGTCGGGCAACGTCGTCATGAACCGGACAACATGGCATCCTAACGTTAGTCTTCGATCCTAGTAACGTCATGGACGAGCAAGCGAGTGCCAACATAGTTCTTGGATTACATTAGTGCGAGACAGGACACGTTGTCGTCGAAGGGACGAGACTGTCCTCGTGGGGGGTTTCTACAAATTCGTCAATGTACTGGTGCACGGCGCGGCGCATGAGGCGCGAGTCTTGCTCGAGCGTCCGCATCCACGTCGAATTGAGCGGCAAATTGGCGTTGGTGGACGCCGACGGCCGAAATTTCTGAAAAAACTTGAGGTCCGTGCCGCCCACCTCGTTTGTCTCGAGCGCGTGCCACGACACCTCGTTCGAGTACGGCGAGTGCTCGCTGTACGGCGAGAGTTCGTCGTCTTCGATGCTGCGGCACACAATCACGCAGCGCGTCGCCGCTTTTGGGTCCGGCGCGTTGAAGTAGAGTTTGCAGAGCACGCGGCGCTGAAAGGTACCGAGCGGGTGCGACAAGGTGCCCGAGACGTACGACGTGTGCGTATCGACATCCAAAAGCGTGTGGCAGTGGCGGTTCATATTCGGGAGCTTGTCGGTTGTGCCGCGAATGACGTTCCAGAGCCCGGCCGCGACGCAGCGCAGCGGCAACCCCGTGCGCCGGTACACGACGTTCTGAAACTCGTGCGCGGCGTCGGGCATGAACTTGGAGATGTGCTTTTGAAAGTCCTCGCTCACGTCAACAAGGCCGGCTTCGATGAACGCGCTGTCAAAATTGGCGTACTCGCGGTCCAGAATCTGGTGCATGGCGGCCGTGCGCAACGACGTGTCCTTGACCAGAATGAGCGACCGCCACTTGTCGGTCGGTGCGTCAAACACTGCGAGTGACTGCGTGTCCTCGCGCGTCTTTTCAAGGACACTTGCAAAGATCTGCGCCGTGACCATGTGCCGGTGCACGAGCTCGCGCAGCTGCTGGTTCTCTTTCCTCGCCGCGACTTCGTGCTGCCGTTCTTGGACCGCGAGCTGGCGCCACTTGGTCGGTGGGCGCACGCGATCTTCGTGGGCCTTGGCCGCTTGGAGTTGCTGCAGCCGGGCCTCGAGCTCGTTCGCAGCGTTGCGGAGATGCAAAAGCTCTTCGCGCTTGCGCTTCCGGTACCGCTGCAGCACGAGACGATGCTTGGAGCCGTTGCGCCCCGGCGGCGGTGATTCGCTGTGATCCGTCTCGTCGTCGCCGAGGAGGTTGTCGAGGATGTTGCGCTCTTCGGGGGACCACTGCACCGAGTAGTCGCAGCCCGACGGATCGTGCACGTCGACGGCCAAAGCTTCGCCCGGGTTCATATTGCACTTTGAAGAAAGGCTGCATGCTCGCCTTTCTGCGACAGCCAATCACACACGACGTATGGTACGTTTGAACCAATCACATCATGCATACAGATTGCAGGCCACCAATCAAACGACGGTTTGGGAAAGGACCGGACACCACGAGGACAGTATTGTGCATGGCGTTGCCGTTTAAGGTAAGAGATTGCGAGCTCAATGGATGTGGCGCCAAAGCTGTGGCACTATGCGACGCGTGCGCCTCCTGCGAGCAGCGTGCTCTTGTGGTGCTCGATGCGTTCCCAGGCGAGACATGCAGCTCGGGCTTCGTGACGAGACATGTTACGAGGAGGAGCGCCTCCAACGTCGGAATTTGCCACCTTTTGTGGGTGCAAGAGATAGCTGCGGTCAAGGGTATATAAGAGATCTTATATACCCTTGCTGCGGTGCTGCCTGTACGTAGTACGTAGATGCAAGAGCTGGTGCGTGGAGCGTGCGTACCGGTAGGGGCACTTGTGTGGATCGTCAAGTGCTCGTGCTGTCCAATGCCTGAAGTTTGGGAGGGCATATTCGTGATTGCCCGTTTGTCGACAATCTCGGAAACGCACGACTTCGAGGTCGGACATAGCTTCGTTGCAGTGCATATAATAAAACGAGCCACTAGCCCAGTTGAATGCTGGGACGAGGAGGTTTTGGGGACGTGTGGGTCTCCAGCCTGCAGAACCAGTCACGACGCGACTTCGAAGGCATGTTCAGCGCCATTGGATCTCTAGTGTCTACTTCAACTCCTTCCTTGCGCTCGAGCCCATGGACCTGATGGTCGCCATAACGACGCCGCGCGCATCGTGGAACACCAATGTGAAAACGCATTTCGAGTACACATAAGTTTGACGGACAGTAACATGTAACGTAGAGCACAACCCTGCTCGCACAGGGACGCTACGACGAGAAGTTCAGTCATTTTGGTATACTTTAATTTCAACTGGAAATTGATTAATTGATTAATTGATGTTGAAGACAGCCCAGCGATGAGCTATATGATACTGTGCGCAACACGCAGCACCTGCGGGGGACACCTCGACTCGTGACTCGTCCTGAGAGCCAAATTTGATGTCCGTGGGCCCAAAAGGCGTCGCAGTAAAGGCTGCGAAAGACTGCAAACACGGTCTCGCGCCGGTCCCCTATGGCGGCGCGGATAGCCTACTGCTGCACAAGGCGCTTTCGGTGGTGTCGAGGCAGTGTACATGCCCCAGCCATGTCGCGAGGAGTTGGTAGAGACGGACATGTGTGAGATCGGCAGATCAAACAACGGAGGGTGTGCCGGGTGCTCGTCCGAATTGCCTACCTCAGTCGCTTCTAGTTCCGCGGGTCACGTCTGGCGCGATGCAAGGCGACGCTGCCACGTTTTGCTATATAATTTCGTGTCTTTGTTCGAGACCCAACACACATGCGATTCTCTGTCACAGGAGCGTGCCACGTCGCGACGCCGTGTGAGTATCGGCGACGACGGGCAAAGCCACGATGCTCCATATATTAGAACGTACTAGCAGCAAGTAGAAGGGCTCAGGGGTTGCGATGAGCTCTGGCACCTACTCGCAGTTGCCAGTTCAACAAGAGCCGCAAGCACGTTGCATGCGTCGTCGTCTTCGCAAGGTATCGAGCAACGTGCTCTCGTCCTGCACACCAAAACTATGTACAAAATGAATCGTTGTCGAATTGCAGTAGGAACTTAGAGCCGTCGCGATGGGCCGACATGGAAGCTCTCAAACGACTCGCTGTCGTGGAGGCTGTTGGCGCCCGGGCTTTCCTTCGACTGCATGTAGCGCAGCTTCTCGCTGTCGGTCATGTACTTCCAAGCAACGTCGTTCTCGCCCAGCGAGTCGTACGGCCGGGACGAGAAGGACCCGCTCGAGTCGCTCATGATGCTGCCCGAGAACGAGACGTTCTCCGTACCATAGCTGTTGGTGCTAAGGTCTGTGAACCGCGTGTGGTGCAGATGGTCGCGCGCGTCGGCGTCGTTGTAGCTGTTGCCGCGGTCGTAAAAGTTGGATGGCAACCCCGGGCTCGTGCCGTGCTGCACCGTCGTCGTCGCTGGCGCAAAGTGCGCGTTGCCCTCGGACGTCGCGGCCACAGGATGCGTCGGTGCGGCCATCGGCACCATCGTTGGTGGAGCGTGCACAGCGGGCGGCGGCATCGTCGTTGGCAACGTCGGTGGGTGCGAAAAGGCCTCCTGCTGACTTCGCCGCCGCCGGCGCAGGATGTAGATGCCGAGGGCAACGACGAGAAGGAGGCCGACGATGGCCGCTACAATGATGATGACGACCGTCGTCGTGGACATGCCGGGGTCGGGCGCGACGGTGCGGAGGGAGGGCGGCGGCGTCTCGGCCATGGTGCTCATGTGCTGCACACGTGCGTGCGGGCGACTTGTCGATTGTAGCAGGTCCTTTTCCATTCGATAAAGCAAAGAAGTAGCACGTCGATCGCCAGCCGGTCGTCAAGCACAGGCGTCCACCTCCGCCGAGCACAGTGTAGTTGTGACGGTGTGGGATCGCCGGCAAGACTGAGATTTTAGTTAGTTGGACATCGACTACACCGGTCGCCGCACGCAAACCCGCTGTTTGGTTCATTCTGGCGAGTTCATACAAAGAGGCAGTCGAATAAAAAACACGCCGGCGGTGAGAAAGGGACTCGCCCAAAACATTCCTGCGATTTGATTGGCCAAAAACAATTTTTGGAAAGGCCACGCCACTGGATACCTACACTCCTAAAAAAAGCTTGGTGTGAAAAAGGTGGGAAATCCAGGCGCGCAAATCGAATATTTGCCAGCGTCGAATATTAGTTCAACGGCCTTGTACGTCGTCCTTGTTGTGGGTTGCGCACCGCGACGGACGATATCGTGTCTCTATCGGTTCCGGCGTGCAGCTGCACGCAGCACGTCTATCACAAAACGCGGTCCCACACCTGGGTGTCAATGACCCTTGCGTCGTGATATATCACGTTCTACAGGTTTAACCGGAATGTGGTGTGTATCCGGCGCTGGTGCCGTGGGAAACACCATGTCCAGGTGGGAAATGTGTAAAAGCGCAACCTCGTGCAACCCTTCCATCCGGATGCATTCCAGGGTCCACCACGTCGTCGTCGCGACGATCAAGACGAGCGCATGGCGGACCATGAGCGGGCGGACGATGGCGAGCAGCATGATGGCGGCAAGGAGGAAGCGCCGATTAGCCCGACGGAGACGCAGGCGACCGGCTTCAGCCTCTTCTCCATGCGGCGCCCGACGGCCATGAGCGCGGATGCCATCCTCGCCGAGCAGGCCAGGAACCGCAAGATGCACCATTACTCGACGATGCGCATCCACATGAAGCGCGTGCAGTACGCGATGGAGCAAGAGAAGCGCAACTCGTTCTACAAGGAGCTCATCTTGTACCTCTTCTTCCTCTTCATCCTCATGCTCACGATTTGCGCGCTGCCCGTGCACATTCCGTATGAGCTCAATGCGTCGCTGCGGTCGCTGTACCTCGACACGGAGTTCCCCAACATGACGATGAAGAAGACGTTCATGGACGTCGAGACCGTTGAAGACATGTGGCAGTGGGCGCAAGGCCCGCTCGTCTCGTCGTACTATCGTTCGCCGTACCGCAACTCGCACCAAATCACGAGCATCCAGATCCGAACCGGCCGCGTCGAGTCGCTTCCGTGCTCGCGCGTCGGGCCCACCAACTCGCTCAAGCTCTTCCCGGACGAGCTCTGCACGCCCGACTTTTCGCTCAACCACGAAGAAATGAGCCCGTATGGCAACAACGGCTTCAACCAGTCGTTCACGTACCGCTCCGACTTGGACGTGCTCCAGCGATCCTTTGTCTTTACGCCGAGTCTGTGGAACTCGCGCATGGACTACGGCACGGGTATGACCCGAATCTTCTTGCATGGCATTGTCTCAGCGCCAATCTAGGAGGGTACCCGGTGTACTTGCCGCGGGACAATGCGTCGATCGGTCGCGAGCTACTGCGGCATCTGAAGCGGTCGCTCGTGCTGCCGTCGACACGCTACGTGAGCGCGACCTGGGTCGTCTACAACCACAACGCCGATGTGTTTTCGCGACTCCAAATGCTCTTTGAGATCTCGCACACCGACTACATTGAAAAGTCGGCGCGCATCGAAAGCTTCCGCATCATCGGGTACGCGTCGCTCGAGGCCTTCTTCACGACCGAGAACGTCATGATGGTCTTCCTTGCGCTCGTGACGCTCACGTTTACGTACCGCGAAGTGTCGGACCTCGCCGAGCACGGCGTCTCCAAGTACATCAAGTCGATGTGGAACGTGCTCGACGTCGTCCAGCTTGGGTTTCTCTATGCGATGGTCTACTCGTGGTGCACGTACATGGTCGACTGCCACATGATCTTGCCAAAGCTCGAGCACATGGTCAACGCCGTCGACTGCACCTCGGTGACGACCGCCGACGACTGCTTTGTGGACATTATGACGGTCGGGAACCACCTCGGGTTCGTCTTCAACATCAGTGCAGCGCTCGCGCTCATTAGCGTCGCGATCGTGTTCAAGTACCTCCGCCTCAACACGCGCCTCAACATGCTCTGGCGCACGCTGCGCTTCGCCGCGAGCGACCTCGTGGCGTTTGTCTTTATCTTTGTCTTCATCTTCTTTGGGTACGCGGTCATGGGCTTCCTCCTCTTTGGAAACCACGTCCGCGACTACCGGTCGCTCTCGAGCTCGCTCGCCGCGTGCTTTCAAATGCTCCTCGGCGCGTTCGACTACAACTCGTTTCTAGATGCGAATCCCGCGATGGCCGGCGTCTTCTTCTTCACGTTCATGGTGTCGATCTTCCTCGTGCTCGTCAACATGTTTGTGGCCATCATCTCCGAGTACTACCGCGTCGCGATGGACGAGAAGAAGCTCAACGACGAGAACAAGATGAAGCTCCTGAACAGCGACAAGGCGTCCAAAGACACGTTTTACGACAAGGACGCCGAGTACGATCTGTGGATGCAAGCGCAGCAGTACGTGCGCGGCCTCAAAGTCAAGGTCAAGCTCATCGTGCCGGCCTCGGCCGAGAAGAAGAAGCAGCCGCTGGCGCTCACGGGCGGCAAATGCGTGCTCCTCGTCGACTATGCATATCTCCACGCAGAAAAGGCGCGCCTCCGCGCCAAGTTTCGAGCAGCGATCCGCGTCATCCGCATTTGCATTCAGTTTCTCAAGCCATTGCGCAAGTTTTGCGCCGACTTTGACCCGTCCCAGATGGCGTCGACGCTCTTCAAGGAGTCGACGACGCCGCGTCCGCGCGCCAAGACGCTCCGGCACTACCTCAGCCAAACCGAGCGCGGGGACTTTCCAATCACGTACGTGCCGATCCATGCGCCGTCGGCCAAGGTCGTGCACCTCGTGAGCCAGCTGCGACCGGGCCAGATCCTCGAGATCGACGACATGTCGCTCACCAACGACCGCATCGGGCTCGAAGTGCTTGGCGATCAAATTTACTATCTCCACGAGTCGATGGGCCACTCGTCCGAAGCCGTCGGGCGCGACGAAGAGTCGTTTGGCCTGCGCCACTACCACAAGGACATTGGCAGTGGGTCCCACATCCGCTGCTGCCGTGTCTTGTACCACGGCGACACGATCCTCGAAGGCCTCGAAGAGTGCATTCTCCCAACGAGTACGTGGGTGCGCCACGGGGTCTTTGCGTGTCTCCGCAATCTCTGGGGCGCCGTCTCGTGCCGCTGGTGGCGCCATGGCCGCGCCAAGTCGCGCAACCAAAAGATCTCGGACGATGAGATCGAGCAGCTCCTCGAAGCGCAGTTTGTCGCCTCGGCCCGCGGCTCATCGTGCCGCTTTGACGAGCTCGTCAAGCAGTTTCGCCTCTTCCTCGCCAAGAAGGTCCAGCGCGGGCAAATCCGCGTCCCCAATAGCAACCTCGAGGCGCTCGTCCAAGCCGAAGCCATTGCATTCGTCGAGCGGTTCCCCAAAGCGCTCATGCCGCTCGATAAGCGGGAGCTCGTCGGGTACAAGTACGTACCGAATCCGACCGACACGAGCCATATCCGCCTGCCAAACAGCGTCTCGCGCCTCACGGAGCTTCTTGCGCAGAACGCCCACGAGGTGTGGTCCGAAGGCCGCATCAGCCAAGGCTGGAAGTGGGGACCCGCGCGCGACAACGACAAGAAGCTGCACCCGGACTTGGTGCCGTACGAAGCGCTCACGGAAGAGGACAAGCAGTACGACCGCGACACGTCCATGTCGGCGCTCAAGATCATCCAAGCCTTGGGGTACATCATGGACCCGAAGACGCCGTCGACGGGCAAGACACGCAGTGGCCGGCACCTCGGGCGGCAAGGATCTTCGGCTTCGGCGCTCTCGTCGTCGTCGTCGTCGATTGACGAGTCGGTGCTCGCGGGCATTGACGTCAACTTTGGGAGCGCCGCAGAGCCGGGCGAGACGTATGCGCCTCGGCCCATCGACACGGAAGACATTGAGATCCCACCGGAGCTCAACTCGCTCGTCGAGCTCCTCGCTGAAAACACGCACGACGTGTGGGCGCAGATGCGCATGTCGCAGGGCTGGAAGTACGGTCCGCAGCGCGACGACGCCAAGCGCGAGCACAACGGCCTCGTGCCGTACGTCTATCTGACGCCGGACGAGAAGCAAATGGACCGCAACACGGCGATGCAGACGGTCAAGCTCATTTTGCGCTTTGGCTTTACCTTTCGCCAAAAGCACGAAGCCAGTGCCGAGAAGAGCGCGGCGACCAAAGGCTTTACCGACAGCTCGTCCGTCAAATTCCGGTACTTTGCGCAGCTCTTGGAGAGACCAGGTGTTGATCCCCGTGTAGAATGTTTGGCCGGTCCGAGGACGTCCAGGCTGAAAACGTCGCGGAAGCCGCGCAAGTGCTCATGGCCACGCAGCGCGCCAAGCACATGTTCCTCTCCAAGAAGCCCAAGCGCGCGTCGGCGGTGCAGTTTGACGCGATCACGCGGTCGGTCTCGGACGTCGACGCGTTTGGCGCCAAGCCGCCGGTCGTGCCCAAGTTTCGCCACTCCCTCTCCACGTCCCACATCGTCGAAGCGCCGAATGAGGAGAAACCAACGCGCCGGTCGACGGGTTTGCCACCGGATTCGGCGCCCGCCCGCCTCCCGTTGCTCCCGGAAGCGCCGACAACGACCGAGCACGTCGTCGACGTCGTCGATGCCGACGGTGATTTGGGGGACATTGAAGTGCTCGAAGCGCTGGCGTCGCCTCGCAGTTCGCGCCAAGGGGACGTCGTGTAGACCACAACGACGATGACTAGTTGGTAGGTTTAAGGAATAGATATCACATTTTTCGATTTGTTTCAATCTATCAGTTTAAATATTCCTGTTAAGTACGAAATAAGTACTTGGTTTCAGTAGGAAAATTGGCAAGATAACGCACTTTATCGGACACTGGACAAGATACTGCCGAGAGAACGATGAGCGACGCAGAGCTCAATGCGCTCGACGAGGACGTGCTCGTACGCCGAGTGCTGGGCGACGACCATGGCGACGACCTGACCACCTACAAGGTACTGCACATTGGCTAGAGCTAGCATCGACGACCGGCGATGCGTAGTCGCCCCAGACGAAGCAGACGCTACTGCATCTTGCTGCCGGCCGCGGGTACGAGCGCCTCACGCGAGCTCTCTTGGCCAAGCACGTGGAGCTCAACGACCAGGTAAGTTCCTTGCACTCTTTTGCATGGCGCGATGGCTGCCACGGCAGGACGATGGCGGCAAGACAGCGCTCGTCGTCGCAGTTCTTTCGGCCAACATGGCGATCTTCCGCCTTCTGGTCGACGCCAACGCCGACGTCCACATCACCGTACGACCTGTGCATCCGCCTTCATCGATCTTTCTTGATGAGTAGACGGCCGAGGGGTATTCTGCCTTTTACATTGCGGCCCGAACGCAGCAAGCTGCTATGGCGCAGGTGCTGCTGCCACAGCTCCACGACGACGGCGCCCGCGTACGCTCTACATTCTCTCAAGGCTCCTTTACCTTTTCATAACGAGCATCGTGTAGGAGCTACTCGCAGCCCTTCATGACGCATCGCCCGACGACGCCGTGCGTTGCCTCTTGGACGCAGGCGTATCGCCAGCGCTGAGCGTACGTGACCCCGAGTGGCCTCGGACGCGACGTCTCCTCGTAGCAGCCCGACGCGTCGCAAGCGCCGATATTCCATTCGGTGCTGGACCGCCCAGGCCTCTTGCGCGTCTTCGTCGAGCACGACCCTGCCATTGTCCACCTCAAGGTCGAATGCTGCACCACCAGTAGCTCACGCCAGTCGACAGGACCGGTACGGTCGTACGGCGCTGGCGTGTACCGCTTCGTCGGGCAACCTCGACGCGTGTCGCCTCCTGCTCCAGTTTGGCGCGAGTCTCGACGCCAAGGTGCTTGTATATTCTTGCAACACGGCCGCTCGAGCGAGTGCGTAGGACCACCGCGGTCGCTCGGTCGTGCACCTTGCCGCGTGCCACGAGCAAGAAAGTGTGCTGCGGCTCTTTGCCGCCGAGACCCCCGCCCTCTTGGTCCAAATCAAGGTGTGCCACCCAGCGTCCGACGGTGCTAGACCAGTCACTGCATAGGACGACGAGCACCGAACGCCGCTGCACGTGCTGGCCGAGCGCGGGAGTCTCCGCGGCTGCAAGCTCGCTGTCAAGTACCACGCCAAGCTCGATGCGACGGTACGACGGCCTACGAGTTCTAGTATGCAGCAGCACGTGGGGCACAGGCGACGTATATTAGGACATGGACGGCGCGACGCCCTTGCACGTTGCAGCGAGCCTGGGCCACGCCGACCTGTGCCGCTTCTTTGCAAAGACGCGCGCGGCAGCTCTCGACTGCAACGATGCGCTCGTCTATCGACACGCATCAGCGCCGTGGCTGGCTGTCACGACACGTCGCCTCGCTGCGATTTATGGAGAGCTCTTGTACACTGAAGCTGTGGCGTTGGAGAGGCACCTGAGTCGACGTATTCTGTGTAGTGACCTCGGGGTGCCAGCGACGCTGGCCACGTACGGCAGTCTCCGGCTGCGCGACTTTGAGATGAACACGCTCCTGCACATGGCGGCGCAGCACGTGAGCGACGTGCACGCCGACTACCTCTTGAACGCCCTGCAAGCGACCGGAAAGATCCCGATCCACGTGCTTGTACTCGGCAGTCGCTCGTAGAAGGCACCTTGACGTTGTATCTTTGGTAGAATTGCTACGGCAAGACACCACTGGAGATGGCGCAGCGCACCTGCAGTATCAACGTCTTGCGCGCGATTTGCTCCAAGGACATGGCGTCAGTGCGAACGCTCGACAGCGCGACCGCACTCGACGAGGACGAGTGGACAAGCTGTGCTCCCGCCAAGCTGCGGCTGCTCGTGAGCGAGATCATGGAAGGCTACAGTTATCTCGGGGATCCCGCGACGCTTCTTGTCTGCAACGAATCCGGTGACACAATCTTGCATGCGTTCCTTGATGCGATGCAAGCCATGACGCCGCGACCGACGGACGCACACCAAGAAGAGATGCTTTTGGGACCCAACTGGCTCGCCAGTCCCCACAGCGACGGTGTCACGCAGCTGCTCGACAAGCCGGTACGTTTTCTCGATTGGAGCGTGTGGTTGTATTTGTGTTGACGTAGAATTGGGCAGGGCTTGCACCCTTGCACAAGGCCGCGGCCATCGGCGCCCTGGGCGCTTGCCGCGCGCTTGTACATCGCGGTGCGGATGCTGCGAAAGCAACAGGTACTGTCGACGACCGCCTCAAGCACCCGAGTACGCTCTGCACCGATGGCTGGCATGCCATCAACTTTGCCGCGCCGCTGCCGTCCGACGCCGTGCTCGAGTATTTTCTCGCAACGCCGCGCTCGCTCCCGACGACAAAAGCGGTTCTGGCGCAGCTCAAGAGCACGGTGACAGCGCAGCACCCGTCGCTTCTTCCGACGCTCCTCGAGCGCCTCGACGAGGCGAGCAAGACGACACCGACCGTTCTCGAAGCCATCGCCCGCTGCGATGCGGTACTCGTCGGCGGACGATAGAATCTCACTGATACCTTGATATCTTGATAGTTTTACCATCCCGAGGGCCTCGCGGCCGACGACGCGAGTGCGCTGCTCGTCTTTCAGACGGTATTGGAAGCCGACCGCTGCGGTGCCGAGGCGCTTGAGCGCGTAGTGTGCGCGGAGTGCATCGTGCGCTCGACCGGCGACACGCTCCTGCACATTTTTGCCGGCGATACGTCCCGCGACCGAACGCAGGAGCTCACGTACCTTCTCACGACCGCCAAGATGAACGTCGACACGCCGGTACGCTCGTCTCACTTCTACTCACTGCGACGTGTGTGGGGTAGAACAAACGCGGCCAAACCGCGCTGCATGTTGCGTGCGACCGTCAACTGTCCGGCATTTGTGCTTTTTTGCTCTCGCGCGGCGCCGACGTGCGGCGCAGCTGCCGCAGTGCGCCCCACTGGATGGGCAGCTCGTCGCTCACTGAGCAAGGGTCCGACTCGCGGCTACTGCGGCCGACACTCGACGACGTCAGCGACGTTTCCATGATGACGGACGAGGCGTGGCAGACACCACTGCACATTTGCCTCGGCCAAACGCTGCGTCGGCTGAGTCCGAGGCACATCCAAGCCAACAATGCCATCGTCGAGCTACTCTTGCAGCACCCAGCGTCCCTTGCGGAGCCATCGGCTACCGTGAGTGCATCGTCCGCGTCCTGCGCTTGGAATCGCGCAGCGTTTGACCGGATCGCGACGGACTTTGGCTTTGCGCTCCCCGCGTACCTCGACCATTTCGTGCAGACCAAGCACTGGCACGGCACGACAACGTACCGTTTCCAGTGTGTGCGCGACGTGTGCCGCCACCTCGATCGCATCATGGCCACGACGGGCGAGACAAGTCGCGTGCTCTTGCACCCGACCGTCCGCAACGCCCTTCGCGCCAAGTGGCACGTACGTCCTTTCGTCCGTCTCGTCTGTAGGTTGGCGCACATGCTTGTGTAGCTCTTTGGTCGACGCATGTACCGCAAGGAGCTCTGTTTGTCGGCGCTGCTCCTCGTCAGCTTTACGTTCTCCAACTACACGCTCGTGGCCGACGACGCGCCATCATCGACGCCGGCACGCAGCGTCGCCTCGTGGCTGCCGCTCACTACGGTGGACGACGTTGTTGTCTTGTGCTTCAAAGGACTCACGTGGCTGCTTGCGCTCTACCATCTTGCGTACGTTGAGATGTGGCAAGAAATGCGGCTGCACGCATCGGCGTACTGGACGTCGCTGTGGAACTACATCAACATTGCGTCGTACACGCTGCTGCTGCTGTCGATCCCGATGGATGCACTGCATATGCCTGCGTCCGTGAAAGAGTCGTGTCTCAGCGTCGCGAGCATCCTCCTCTTGTTTGGGCTGCTGCAAGGGCTTCTCGTGTTCTCCTACTTCTCCGTGCTGCTCTTTACTTTTTCGCGTATGCTCAAAGTCGCGCTCAAGTTTTGCCTTCTGTACGCGATCCTCCTCGTGGGCTTTGCAGCAGCGTTCTACCTCGTGTTTCACGGCGCGACCGGCCACACGAGCCTCCGTGAGACGCTCGTGACGGTCTTCTTCCTCATGTTTGGCGAGCTCAACTTCCACGACGTCTACGGCGCGACGACCAACAGCGTCCGGTACACCGCCGGCCTTCTCGTGCTGATCACGTACCTCCTTTGCGTCAACATTGTCGGCCTCAACATGCTTGTTGCGATGATGACGGCTGAATACGACAGCATCAAGAGCCAAGCCGAGGTGCTTGCGGTGAAGGAGCTAGCCAACACGCTGCACCGGTACGAGGCGTGGCTCGGGCCCGCGTCCATCGAGCGACTCTATGCGTCGGCGGCGCTGCGGTCGTTTGATTCGTACAGCGAAGCCGCCAAGACCGTTGCTCGACCGCCAACTGTGGACGGCACGAGCGAGCTCCAGACCGAGCTGCAGCAACTCTCGGGGCGACTGCACGATCTGAGCCAGGACGTGCGCGGTAGCGTCGCCAAGGTCCTTCGCCTCGAGGAAGTGTTGCACGAGCACGTGACGGCGCAACGTGAGGTGCTCGCGTCGATCTTGCAGCGTCTCGAGCGCCCCAGTACACCATGACACTTGGTGGTATCAAAAGAGGAATTAGATAAGAAGGTTTAGTCGTCGCGCTGGAGCGTAAAGCCCTTCCCGAGCTCAATGTACTCGAGCTCCTTGCGCACGTGGTGGCCCGTGAGCATCGGCGGGTACTTGTCCAACGCGTCTGGCGTCGCAAAGCGGCCAATGGGCTGGAGCACGTCGTCCGAGTTGATGTGCGAGAAGAGCGTCGACGAGACGCGCCAGAGGCTCTTGCCAAGTGCCTTGCGCGCCGCAATGTCCTCGAGCGTCTGCTCGGTGACGACGACCTCGTGGAAGCCCGCGACAAGGTACCCGCCCGTGAGGTACTCGATCTGCTTGCCGGCCTGCACGAGGAGGCAGCCGTCCGGCACGCGCACGAGCGCCTTCTCGCCGTTGCGGAGCCAGATGTAGAGGCCGCGGAAGCGCGACTTGCCGTGGATCGTGAGCAGGTTGAGATCGTAGTGGTAGCCTGCAAGCACGTCGTTGAGGTTGCCGTACTTGGCAAAGTTGCTGCCCGTTGGCGCCAGCAAGTGGGGGCCGTGCTGCATGCGCTTTTGGAAAGCATCCTTCTCGAGGCCGAGGCCGATGGCCGCCATCTCGACGAGCTCGTGGACGGCCGCGAGCATCTTCTCGCCCCACATGTCCATCGTGGCTTCCCACTCGGGGAACGCCGTCGGCACGACCGGCTCGGCGTTGAGCTCCGTAAACTGTGTCGTCTAGAGAAGAGATAGATGAGATGGTGGCGGTCGTGGAGGGAGGCGCGTACCGGCGGGCGGGGGCCGGTGCGCCAGAAGAAGCGGCTCTTCTTGTCGAGTTCGGGCGGGCACAACGTCACGGGCTGGTGCTCCTTGGCGAGGGCTTCGGCGCGCGAGCAGTGGTTGCGCGCGCGCTCCTGGTGCTCGGGCGTGACGCCAACCTGGTAGCTCAGCTCCGGGCGCGCGTCTTGCGTAAAGTCCGTCTGCTCGAAATAGCGCTCCATCATGTCGACAAACGTGTTGTTGTTGGCTTCGGTCGCGCGCTACAAGACACTCTAGTTAGTCGCAAGCTTTGGCAGCGACAAGTCTACCGGGTCGCGGACGACAAGAACGCCGTACTTGTGCAAGCAGTCAGCAACGACGTTGCACTGGTCGACGCCGTTGGCGCGGTCGGCCATGTACTTGGCGAGGTCAATGACCGGGAGGTCGGCAATCTGCACCATTCTGGACTCGGAGTTGAAACTGGAAATGACGCTCGCGAGATGACCTTTTCCAAGGCTTCCAGGGATCGCCACCGGCTGGCGACGATGGGCTCGATTTTTATTATGCACGGTATACGCAAGGTTTGTATACTGAATTGAATATTTGTATTAAAAGAGGCTGTTGCCGGCACCGGCAACCGGATAACTTTGAAGCGCGGCTTCAAGAGCAGAGTGGGACGTTGTTGCCCTAATTGCCACCTGGTGCGTCCGAGCTGGTGGTGCGGCAGAGACACGGTGTCGACCCAAAGACGAAGGCGAAGGCGAGGCTCCGCACTTGAAGTAGCCGACTCGCCATTGTTCACTCGCACTGGCGCCAGAGAGTGTGGGGTGCCAGCGCAGCCGTTTGATCTACTACACAAGAGACGGGCGGCTTGCCTTCGTATGACGTGGCGGCTCCAGGAACCGCGAACGTGAGTGTGGCGTTTGCGGGTGGTTGCAAGAGGTGGTGGTTGGCGAGCGAGACTGAGGTGTCTGAGCAAAGTGCGTGCAATCGCGAGCGGTGCATGATCATTGCGGGTCATCCAGTAGACACGCTTCGTTCGCATCCCCCGTGGTCTTGCAGTACTTGTGCTGCACAAGTCTCGGTACGTCGCGCTCGTCTCGGCTTCTCTCGCTGCATCCGCAAAGAAGAGAAGAAGGAGACGACCTCGTTGAACTCGTGCGAGACGTTAGACGCTAGCGCTCTCTACTGCACCGAAGCCAATGCGGTGCCGAACGTGATCTTTTCGTGCTGCCCGCTGCCCGCCGAGTAAAAGTGCGTCTCCTCCACATACCAGATTGACTCAATCGCGACGGTTTGCGCCGCGAGCTCGGCCGTGAGCTGCTGGCAGCGTGCGGCGGCCGCCGCCAAGCACGCCGGCGACACCGTGTCGGTGAGCACGCGCGACAGCGTCGAGTGGATGATGTGGTTCGGATGGCGCAGCGCAGACCCGAACGTCGCCTTGGCGCGGCTCCTGCGACAAACATCAATGTTGCATCATCGTCCGTCGAAGTGATGCGGCATACCGTAGGTGCTGGACAGCGTTGGTCGGGTCGTCAAACAGCAGCAGAACGGTGCCCGAGGCCGCGAGGATCACGCTGTGAATCGTCAACTCGAAGGCCGGCGTGCTCGAGATGAGCGCCTTGAGTGTCTGCACCTCTGCAGCGCATGGTCTTGCCCAATGCATACTGTAGCGTCTACCTACCTTCGGCGCGGAGGGCCGGCGAGAAGGGCAAGCACGCGTCCGGGTGCGACGTGTGGAAGAGCGTCACGTGCATGGAGGCTTCCGTGTTGACATACGTCTTTGTCGCAGCTTCGGAGTCAAAGATGGCCGCGATCTCTTCACCAATGCGCCGGCTGAGCGCTGCTGCCGCCTACTTGCATCATGGCACCTTACTGCTTGGTACTGCATGCAACGTTGTACCGGCGGCAGTGGCGAGCAGATCAAGCGGACGACATCATTCTCACCCAAGAGCGGGTACGGCATCGGCGTCGGCGCCATTACGGTCGGCGGCAGTGCAAAGTTGGCGCTAGGGCAGCCAATATAAGGCACGCAAGCTAGCAGTGAGGTGCACGCACGCCACAGAAGCGATCTTGCGGCCGTCAAAGGCGGTGACAGGCGCCGACATCTCGGCATACACGTCGGCGCGCGCCGTGGCGTAGACGGTCATGCTGGCGGGTTTCGGCGCAAGTTACAAAATGAATTCGGCAGAGGATTTTTCAACGTGTGTGACCGTGCACGGGTCGCGCGCCTTGCGCCAGATGGAGCTGTACGTGCTTGGTCTCGTCTTCGCATTGCTCTCAGCGTTTCCTCTACGTGCCGTTTGCGGCGCTGGTTTTCTGAAAAAATATATGAAAAATACTGGAGGAACCGGGGGTCGAACCCGGGGCCTTCCGCATGCAAAGCGGACGCGCTACCACTGCGCTATACCCCCATATGGTGATACAGTCACTTTTTGACGTACAAGTGAATTTACCGTAATTTGCAGAGGCGACTGGACAGCTTTGCGAGTTGCAGCGTGGACATTGTGGTATCGTATGTACAATATTGTCTATTATGAGCAATACTATGAGACTAGAGAGAGACGCATTAGGGGCGACGGCGTCGAGGGTCAGAAAGGCTTGCGGGTGGGTCGGGACATAAAAATATCGCATTCCGATACAAAGACCAAGGTGCAATAAAAAGATCAATTGTATGCGATATATTGACTGGGAAACGGTTTGCGATTGGAAAACAGCAGCATGCGCTGGTACTGCGTCTCGCCGTCCTTGCCGCGGGGCGCGCAGCTGCGCGTGCGAGCGGCGCCGAGCGCGTCCGCGGACGAAACCTCGGCGCTGCGCCTGAGCATCTCGGACGTCATCGCGGTCACGTCGGCCCCGACGCCCGGCCGCCCATGGCTCCGCATCCTCTGGCAGCAGCAGGAAGGCCATGTGATGGCCACGACCCCCGATGACATGCCACTGCTCGTGCCATGGGAGACGACGGCGCTCGAGCACATTGTGTTCGCCTACCCCGAGACGCCGCTGCGCCACGCCAAGACGGACGAGCATTTGCTGCTCGAGACCGACGCCTACCTCGGCGTGATTGCGACGAGCGAGGATGCGACGCTCCTCGTCATGTACCAAGGCGACCAGTTCTACGTCCGCGCAAGCGATACAGTTGCGATGGCCGAGCGCATTGCCGACGGTATGCGCTTCCTCATGAACCCGACGCTGCCCGAGAACGCGACGATCGTCGTCCGGCAGTGGCCCGACCGCGAGAGCGACCAAGTCGACGTCATTACGCAGCACCAAGAAGTCGCGGGCGAGATTCGGTCCGGCGACTGGATCAAGCTCCACGAGCAAGCGTGGGTCATGTGGAAGCTCTCGCACCACAACAACCTGCAGCTTTTGCAACCCGCCCACATAGTTCTGCAACAGACGCTCGTGCTGCATGAGAACGACGACATAGACACGGCAAGCGACGCGCCACCTGCGATGAGCGAACCGGCACCAGCAGCAGACGAACGCCAGTCAATCGACGCCGACGAACGACCTCCGCAGCCAGAGCTCGCAAAGCACGAGTCGTGGGACGATCGGCCCATTCGACCGGCCGGGCCCGAAAAGATGGCGTCGCTCATTGCAAAGTCCGCGGCGCCGGTTGCCGCATCTCCCGTCTCGTACGATGACCGCCCGATTCGAGCGCCATCGACGAGTCCTCCGTCGATCGTTGACGAACAGCTCGACCCAGCACCTATGCACAACGAGCCGACAATCATGGATGATGCACCGGCGTCATCACCCACTGCCGTCGCCGCGTGGGACGACCGACCGATCCGCAGCGCACCTGCCAACGACGCTGCAGAAATGGTTGTCGAGACGGCACAGGCGTGGGACGAACGGCCTCTTCAACCCGCTTCTACCTCGTGGGAGGACCGACCGATCAAGCCAGCGCCAAATGCCTTCTTGGACGAGCGGCCCATTCAACGAGCGATGGAATCCTGGGACGACCGTCCGATCAAACCTGCGTCGGTGGTCGAGAAGGAACTCGAGGAGCAGCCCGAAACGACGTCCAGCCACTCGGCGACGCCCAACCAAAGCCCGACACAGGCTGGCTGGTCGTTGTCGATGGACCCGCCGCAAGAAGCTATGGCATCCGAAAGCCCAAGGGTCGATGCGGCGCGGGCAACGAGTAGCCCACCGATTAGCGGTACGCACCGCGTCTTGCGTTGTAGCGTCTTCAGTTGCAGAACGTAGGCTTGCTCGACGTCGACAAGATCGTGTCGCGCGAGACGCGCTCGAGCAGTGCGTGCAGCGACTGGGAGCCGCTCGTATTGCGTCGCCGGTGCTCGTTTGAAGAAGACGCGCCGATTGTCACCAACCAAGTGCCTGACTTTGCGGCCGCGCACGCCGAGGACGACGACGACTCGTCGTTGCCCAAGTACGCATCCCGCTTGGACGAGATGCTGGCCGAGCTCAGCGACGTGAGCATGATGTGGCTGCTCCAGCTCGACCTGCTCGAAGAGCTCTTCCATTACTTGGAGCTCCACGGGCTCAGCGTCCCGGACATGAAGCGCACAATGGAGATGCTCGAGATCAAGGCCAGCCATGCGCTGCACGCCAAGGTCCTTCCGTCCTTTCTACGACTCATGCCGTTTGTCAAGAGCTTCATGGCGTCAGCGGGCGACCTCCTCGCTCCGCACATGGAGCACTTGCTGCCGCCCTTCTTTGCGCTCTTCCAAGTACGTTGTTGTCGTCGTCGTCTGGATACCTATTCGCGATGCGTAGGAGCGATCCAAGGGCGCGGTTGCAACGCTCGAGACGCATCTACACGACTGGTTCGACATTCTCGACATCATCTTGGTGCTCAACAGCCTCGAGACGGCCATCGTCGATTTGCACATGACGGAGCTGGGGACTGCGCGCCTTGTCACGTGGTTTGCGAGCGCGATGCCACGCACCAAAGGCGTCCCAAGGGCCAGCCCGCGCCTCTGCGACGCCCTCGTACAGCTTACGAGCCATCGCGCGACCAAGGTTCGCGACGCGTCGACGCAGATCTTGACCAACATCCTCGGCCATTACGACGGCGCGTCGATCCCGTCCTGGCTCGCAAGCGGCGCCCCCGAGACGCTGGCAGATATCGTTGCCGACAAGTTTCCGTCGGTTCCCATCGTGGCGTCGCCACCAAAGCCGGTGGTCGTCAACGACGACGAAGCGATGCTTGCGCCCCCCAAGCCTCGAAGCTCGCTGCTAAAAGGCAAGGGTCTCGAGCGCAAGGCCAATTTGGAGAAAAGCGGCGTGCTCAAGCCATGGCAGCGCACAAAGCCGGACGCGGACCAGCGACAAGCGGACGCACCGCCTCCAGTTGACAGCGCCGCGCCGCCGCCGACGGTCGTTGCGTCGTCGGTGATTGAGGCAGCTAGCGTCGATGGGACGGACGGGGCGACGAGCAAAGCGACACCGATGGCGACCAAGCCATGGGTGCGAAAAGCGGTCGGCCAGGACACGCCTGCAACCAGCAGCGGCTCTGGTGCCGTGGTCACAGCAGAGAATGATGACGCGAGCGTGAACGCATCGACGGCCAAGCCGTGGTTGCGCAAGAAAGCGGCGCTGTCGCGCGACGTCAATGGCGATGATGATATCGTAGTCGCGGCACCGCCCAAGTCGTGGCAACGGCGGGTCGCAACGATGAAGGACGAGCCGACGCCGGTGGTGGATGCGTTCCCAGTGGACGACGCGTCAGCTTCTGATGACATTGAGCTGCAACCAACGCTTGCAGACGCAGAGACACTGACACCTGTGACGGACGAGAAACCTCTGATCGACACGGTCCCCGAGACGCCGACGATCGAGACGCCGACGATCGAGACAGAGACCACCGAGACGGAAGAAGCACCAGCTGACGAGAGCGTGGACGTCAACATCTTGGACGTCAGCGCCGAAGACCTCGTGATCTTTGACGATGACCAGCCCGCCATCGAAGAAGCCAACCCAGTGCTCGGCGACGTCATGCCTTTGGACGCAGCTGGGTTTCGCGAAGAAGAGTCCGCGGATGAAGACGTCGGTGCCAAGCAAAGCTGGTTCTTTGTCGATGAACAGGCCGACGAGGACGCAGACGACGATAGCGACGGGCCTCCGCGACGTCCTGCGGTGCTCGGTGACAGTGACAGCGAAGGCAGCATCCACGCCTTGTCATGGGAGGCGTCTCCACGCGTGACGGTGCCCGTGCTTGGTAACACGGTCTACGACATCCTCGGCAGCCACCCGCTCGAGTACTTTTCCCTCGAGCCGCCCTCCGATACGGCCGTGCTCTCCCACCACATTGTCGACGCCCAAGTGTACGATACACCCGACGAGAGACCGGCCGACGAAGACATCATCGACGCGATGGCTCCAGCGGCGACCGAGGGCGCGACGACTGAGCTGGTCCCAGCGGCCGTGGAGGTTCCCGTCGAGAACGATGAAGTAGCCACGGACGACGTATCGCTGCCTTCGATCGACCTCACGACCGATGACGATGCTGTCGTCGATGCCTTTGAGATCGAAGCCAACGCGCCTTTCGACGATGTCAAGGAGGACGAAGCCATCACGATTTACGAAGACAGCCGCGTGGAAACACCGCGCAGTGAGCCGGTCGACGACCTCGATGAGATGTGGCCGACGATGGACCACGAGGAGGACGCGCCCGGCAAGGATGCGGCGGAAACATTCCAGCTCGAAGTGCATGACGACGTTGCGACGAGCGAGGACGAGGCGTCGTCACGCCACAGGTCGATCCTCGATGCCTGTGATTATCGTGTTCTTATCGCATGTCGTAGTTTCTTCCGCGGGCGCTTTGCCAGTGATTTTGACGAAATGTTCCCGGAAGACGACGAGTACCTCGAGCGCGTCGACGACGGCTGGAGGTACGAAGTGCATGGTTTGAAGTACAGTTGACAGACACTGTGTGGTGCTAGTCGCGTGCACAGCCGCCGTAACAGCGATGTGTCGAGTGGCGGCGTCGAGTGGCCCAAGCACGACGCTCCTTTGCCGCGGGCCTCGATCGTCGAAGAAGGCAACGAAGAAGGCGACGACGAGACCGAGCCGTTTGAGCCCGAGGCGATCGACCGCGCCGGGTTCTTTGATGGTTTCGAGACGGAGTTCCCGACGTCGTTGGACGCCCACGACGCCATGGAAGCGCTCTACGTGCCGCTTGGCTGGTGGATCCAAGACTGTCATGACCTCCTCGCATCCTCCGAGTACGCACGTCGCGTCATTTGTTCTTGGTCCAATCGTTGGGCGTAGGTACGACTCGCAGGCGTCGCTGGCCGAGTTTGACAGCGCATTTTGCATGCTGGATGTATCGTTTGCGCACCTCGAAGGCGACGACGACGCCTTCTTCTGGGACGACCCGATTGGCGATGACATTGTCGTGTCACCCTCCGACTGGGCTGCCGTCGTCGCGTACCAGCTCAACTGGCAGCGCGCGAAAACCGCGCTCCTCGATGACTTTGCGACCGCGATCGAGATGGTTTTGCTGCGCGACCGGCAGCGCAAGGACGACGAGGCGGCGTGGGCTGCAGCCAACGACGCGCCGACCGAGCAGCGCTCCAAGTCGATGACGGTGCGCCGGTCGTCGGTGTACGGGTCGCTCCCCAAACGACGGTCCGAGACCACCCTGCAAAAACCCACGTCGTTGGCGCCGACGCCGTCGGCACTGCACATGCCGCCGCGCATTCGCACGTCCATATCGACGACCAACCGCACGCCGTCCGAGACATCGTCGACGACGTCATCGCGCCCCGAGTCGCCCGTCTCGTCGCGGTCGGGCTCCCCGAAAGCGCTCAAGAAGAAACCCGAGTCGCCGCGCCCGTCGTTGACGATGCCACGGACACGCGCGTCGTCAAGTGCTGTGCCCAATGGCGTGCGCAAGCCCATGACGGCTTCGGCGCTCGCACCGCCAACGCGCTCGCTGTTGCAGCCGCCGACGACACCAACCCGGTCGCGAAGCGTGAGTGCGGCACCGCAGATCGCTGCGACACCGCGCTTATCGACGACGGGACTGCGGCCGCCCGGCAAATCATTGACGTCGTCGCTCCGAGCCCCCGCGAGTCGCATGAGCCTCCCCAAGCCCGTGACCAAACTGTGAATGAACGTAGCTACTCCCTCTTTTTCTATCGCACAGCCGAGTGGGTGAGCTCCCATGTGTCGCATTGGCCTCTGATGGAAATGGCTGCTGCAAAGCCCACCAGCAAGCACGACAACTTGCAGGTCTGAGCGCACGCTTGTCGTCAACCCCACGCCGTCAACGTATTTCCTTCACCATGAGACTCGGTCGTCGAGAGGGTTGTGGTTGTCGAAATGGCTCACTCAAGACCTGCAACTGTCGGCTCTTCTTCGGAATGGTTGGCAGAGTTCTCGCTGACGAGACGTGTAGCCAAGCTTGAGCTGTAGGGTTGCTCATCTGCGCTTTGATGGGTGACAAAAGGGCAAGGTCGAGTATCACAATGGAAGGTTCGATCGAACATTCGATGACCGCCATGGCCGATCGATGCAGCACTGTCAAGTTCGACTCCCAAGCTGCCATGGCTGGTTCGACTGCACAACAAGACCAAGCTCTTGACCCAGATGACTCTGGCCGAAGCCCGCCGCCAAGAACGCGCAGGCTGTATCGCACCGTCGCTTCTCTTCCTTCTCTCGCTGGGCGCTCGTCCTCGACGTTGCCAGCCGGAAGAACGATACGAATCTCGAGGTATATAGATAATACAGGTGGTTAAAAGTAGAGCGCGCCGGTGCCATCCAGGAGCCATGGCACCGTGATCATCTCTTCGCGGTTGAGGTGGTCGATGAGGCCGTGGTAAAATTCGGCGAGCGCGGCAAAGTCGCCAGTCATGACGCGCTTCTCGAGGACGACGAGGTTGCGATGGTCGGCTTCGAGCTGCCGGATCTCGGGGATGAACTCCTCGTGGCCTTCCTTGAGGCGCGGGAACCACGCGTGGTCCTCGATGCTGTGGTGGTGGTGCAAACTGTTGTTGAGGTGGCGGAACTTGGTCTTATCAACCTCGCGCTTGGCTTCGCACGCACGCATGAGACGCTCAAAGCCCGACCGGTAGTACGGGTGGATGTCCTGCACGAGGTGCGCGGCCATGCCGCCCCAGCGCGGGTGCTGCTTCCACGTCACCACGATCTCCTTGTGCACTTGAGCGGTCACTGCGCGCCGCTCGGCCACGTTCTCGATCGCCCGGAACGCTTCGTAGCGCTCGAGCACCGGCATCGCGATGAGCTCCTCGATCGAGTACGTCGACGACATGGGCACTTGGAGGCGAATTCGCAACTGCGTGTCATCGGGACGTGACAAAAAAAAGTGCACCGAAGGGCAACCCCATACAAACGCCCAGTCAAATCGGTCCAGCCGGCGACGTGGCACGGCCAACGACCGACGATCGCAAGTCCGACGACGTCCGCGAGCATCGCATGCGGAAGCTCGCCAGCGCCGACGTCCATTAAGCCCAGTAGTACGAAGCCGGCTTGGCGCGTGGACGCTAGGATGCGTGGTCCAGCGTCGCCGTGTTTATGTGCTTGCCGTGTGAGTGCGCTTGTGTTTTGTCCCAGCAGACATGGGTACGCGGACGCATGCTATGTCGACGAGCGCTGGCTCGACCGTCGCTTCTACTGCACGCCAGAGGCCAGTGCAATCTCGACATGGCCGGACAGGCGATACGACCTACGCCACTGTACCCACGCGCAGCGTCCCAACTTCGACGCTGGCATGACCAGGCTCGCAGGCCATGCTATTCGCTGAGCATGGCAGCGCGGCCATGCCAGGCCAATCGTGTGTCAAGTTCGGTCCGCCGATCGAACCTTTCGAAGAAATATGAAGCGCAAGCGAGCCGAGCGCTGGCTCCACCACGTCATCGTCAATCTTGTTGCGCCATGGCCATAGCTCCTCTTGCGCCGCGTGGCCATGCCAGCGCGGACCGCGCTCGCGTCGGAGCGGTCGCGCGTCCTTGCAAGATCTGGCGGGCCGTTCCATGCCAGCCGGGTACAAAAAGACAGTGGTTCGATATCCGGCCGTTCGAAAAACAGGCCATTTCGGCGCAGCCACAAACCAAGATTTCGACATGCGCGGAGCGATCGTCTACGTGGCGCTGGCGCTGCTCATGGCGTCGATCAGCGCCGTCCAGTTCGACGTCAAGCGGCGCGCGGAGAAGTGCCTCAGCGACGAGGTGGCCGCGGGCTCGCTCGTCGTCGTGCACTACAACATCCTCGGCAACGTCAAGGGCCGGACCGGCGTCTCGCTCTTGATCAAGGACCCGATGGGCAAGTACCTCAAGGAAGACTCGGACATTGACTTGACGAGCGAGGACATTCACAAGTACTCGTTCAACGCCGAGGCCGCGGGCACGTACTCGACGTGCTTCTTCAACTCGAACGACTTTGTGACACGCGTCTCGCTCGATTTCAAGCACGGCGTCGAGGCAAAAGACTACTCGGACATTGCCAAGCGCGAGCATTTGATGCCGGTCGAGAAGGAGCTGCGCAAGATGGAAGACACGGTCGACGAGATCCACCGCGAGATGCTCTACATGCGCGAGCGCGAGGCCGCGATGCGCAACACGAACGAGTCGACCAACTCGCGCGTGCTCTGGTTTAGCTCCTTCTCCATCTTTGTGCTCCTCGCCATGGGCCTCTGGCAGGTCATGTACCTCAAGAAGTTTTTCAAGTCCAAGAAGCTCATCTAGATAAGACAATCACGAATGTAGCGTCATATGACCACGTCCTCTTGCATCGCGATGGCCATCAGACGCATGCAACTCCTTCCTGGAGGATCGACTCTCGTCTCGATCGGCGAGAAACCGCCTTTCCCACTGCAGTCGTATAAAAAGCAAAGCGCATGCTACCACCAACGTACACGAGCGCAGAGCTCGGAGCGCTCTTCCACCGCGTGGCCAAGCACGTCGAGGATCTCAACCGACGCGACGCTGTCATCGTCCGCGTCTCTGTGCCATCAGACGCGCAGATCGCCTCTTGGATTGCCCAGACCGAGTCGTTCCAGCCCGGAAAGCACCCAATCTCGGTGGTGGGGCCGGGCCCGACGACAGAGGTCGGTCATCGCTTCCGCAACTTCGTCCATATAACTCTTGTACGCGCAGGCACCCGGGTCGCCCACGGAGCGCAGCCCTCAGCGCAGCATTCGGCGGGCCCGGGGTAGCCACTTCACGCTCGTCGCGGGCAAGCAGCGTGCGATCCCTGTCTCGGAGCTGTCCATGTAGGCGATGCCAGTTGATCGTGCTTGTTCGAGTTGACGCATTAGGGTCAAGGCGGTGCTGCGGCACCGCAGCCTCGAGCTGGCGCACGGCAGGCGGCGCAGCGACAAGGAAGGTGACGACAAGCAGAAGCAGGCGCCGCGCCACCGCCGCAAAGCAGTGGTCGCCAGCCATCTAAGCATGACCAAGGCGTCGGCCGTACGCGCTCTTCCGACCGAGTCGATTTGAGCTCGATGCGTAGACGGCCGGAAAGCAAGCTCTCATCTCCGAGCTTATTCACGCCACGTCGTTTACGATGCAAGATATTTTTCAAATGAGTTGTCAGTTCAAGGTACATGACCCAACTCCGTTCGCGGGGCTCAGTGCGAACACGTAGGAGCTCGCGATGGCCAACGGCACGATCACGAGCGACACCTTTAGCACGATCATCGGGTTTGCATAGTCCTTGCGACGCTATATGCACCGGTCGCGTTGTAGGAGCCACTTGGGCAAACTCGTGGCGGGCGTCAACCTCCCGTCCGAGCAAGGCGTCTCGTCACTTGGCGAAACCATTTCGTCGTCAGCATCGCTCATTGGCCGCCTCTACAAGGTCTTTGACAAGGACGGCAATGGCACGATCGATTTTCGAGGTCATTTTTGACTTTGGGTGGGTGGACAATATTGTCGAATTTTGTGTTTGGTAGAGTTTATCATTGGCCTCAACAGCCTCGTCCAAGGCTCGCTCGAGCAAAAGCTCGACACGCTCTTTGCAGTCTACGACAAGGACGGGAGTGGTGCAACCTGCATACTAAGACTGTGCAAACCGCAGGACATCAACTAGGCACGATCTCGGTCTCGGAGCTCGTCTTGATACTGAACGGCGGCCAAGAAAAAATGAGCCAGCTCGTACATCCTCGTGGATGCGACTTGAGTTTGCGACAGAACGACTAGGCCGTGTACATTGACAACTACTTTGCGACCGTCGACACGAACGGCGACAATGTGGTTAGCAACCTGATGCACCTTGTATCTGTCATGGCCTTGACTAGATTACAGAGGACGAGTTTCTGACCGCGGCCAGTGTCGAGCCGCTCGTGCTAGAAGCGCTCACCAAGTCGCTCGCCTTCAACCGCCAAACCGGCTTCCACGTGCGCCAGGTGCACACGTGTCGCTCGTCGATACGATGAGCGACAATGTGCATCGAGGATAGAGCCTGCGTTGCTTTTGTGAGCGCGCCAAGCTCGACTGGGCGGCGATGCTCTCGATGTTGGAAGACGTCAACGACTCGACGCGCCTCGAGCGAGAGGCCAAGCTGCTTCGGCGCCGGTTTAGCTCGGGCGCCTCGGGGTACGTGGCGCCACCCGCCCCGCTGAGCGTCAACCAGTTCGAGCACATGCTGGCATCGTACTTTCACGAGCAGCTTCCGGAAGACGCAGCCCTCTTGCACGAACTCTCGAAAGCGTACGCACCGACCGGTGCGCCCCAACCAGCGAGGACAGGTACCTTCAATCGTACGATGTAGATCCACACGGGAAGCTCAACGCGCGCGAGTTTGTCGGAGACGTCGCGGGGTATCTCTGGTACGATCGCTTTCTTGGCTCTCTCATGGTACATGATTGACCACGCGATAGGTCGCTCCTCTTGGTATAAAAGAATGCGTTCACTGCCTAGTAACACGGCGTAGGACTCGGCCCATGACGAGTGCTGCGCTCGGTTCTACTTTCGGTTTTACGATTATGATACCGACGGGTGCATCACGCGCGAAGAGAAGCAACGTCGTTTGCGCGAGGTGCACCATATTGTCTGTGTATGTACGGACGATCATGGACAATTTTTGCGTAGCTTTGGGGCGATGGGCCAAGACTTGCTCGACACGATGAAGCTGCTCCAGGAGATCGATACCAACGGCGACGGCGAGCTGAGCAAAGAAGAGTACCTCGAAGCGGCCAAGCGCATCCCGCTCCTCATGGCGTCGATTTACATTTGCATCTAAACAGTATTAGGACTATCAACTACTAGTACAACGCGTATCACATTACTGGTTGCCCAAGGGCTAGGGTTTCTCGTTGGTCGCTCGCTGTTCCACGAGGTTCTGTACCCAGCGCACGAGGTTCGACGGACCGTGTTGCTTGGCGAGGCGTACACACTTGCGCAAGGGCAGCTCGCGCCGGTGCTCGCAGAGCCATTTGAAGACGTGCGGGTGCTCTTCAAGGAGCGCGGCCTCGACCGCCTCGATGCTGCAGCCCTCGCTGCGGTGCGCGTGGAGCCACCGAAGCACGTGAAGATTGCCGGCCTCGGCCGCACGGTTCATGGCCTTCTTGTTGGTGCGCTCGCCTTGGGCCGTGAGCCAGGCGATGATGGGCACATGGCCGTACTCGCACGCGAGCGCGAGGGCATTCGTCGTGCATCGCTCGGGCCGATGAGCGTGCCACCACTGCAGGAGGCGAAGATGGCCAGCGCGAACGATCACATCGACAACGTCCGACGAGCAGCCTTCGGACCGGTGCGTGTGGAGCCAGTGTACGACGTCGAGGTGGTTGTGGCGCGCGGCCCAGTCCATTGCATCCGTCGTGCAACCCTCGCTTCGGTGTTCATGGAGCCATTGCACAATGCGCAAATGACCTTGTTCGGCCGCATACGCCATCGCGTCGACCGTACACCCTAAGATAATTTTCTTGGGTGCCCGGCTATCGCTTGGACGAGGAGGTACCTTCGGTGCGGTGGGTGTGCAGCCACACCAGCGCCTCGAGCTGGTCGTTGGTCGCCGCTGTGTCCATGGCGTCTGGCGTGCACGCGGCAGTCGTGTGCGTCTGCAGCCAGTGCAACACGTGCACATGGCCCTTCTCAGCCGCAAACTCGATCGCGTTGGTCGATACGCCTTCTGTGCGATGGGTGTGCAGCCACTCGAGCATTCCAAGGTTGCCGCGCTTGGCCGCGCCGTCCATAGCTGCGGTCGTCGCGCCCACGTCGCGGTGCGTGTGCAGCCACTCGACCACGTCGAAATGTCCATTCTTGGCGGCGAGGTCCATGGCCGCAGTCGTCTCGCCTTCGTCGCGGTGCCGCAGCAGCCACTGCACAATGTGCAAAAACCCATTCTCAGCCGCAAAATCGACCGCGTCCTCCGTGCAGCCTTCGGTCCGATTCGCCTGGAGCCACTGTATAACGTGCAAATGTCCGCAGTTGGCGGCCCAGTTCATGGCGTCCGTCGAGCAGCTTTCGTACCCGTGGGCATGCAGCCACTGGAGCAGCTCGAGGTGCCCACCTTCGGCCGCATAGTCCATCGCATGGCTGCACTCACCAAGCTTGTGTGCATGCAGCCATTGCGCCACGCTCAAGTGGCCACCTTTTGCTGCCGCGTCCATGAGGCAGAGCGGCACGTCGGCGTCGGCAGCGAACGTCGTCGGAAGGCGCTCCAGAATCGACACGTGGCCATGCTCGGCGGCTTCGTGGTATGTCACGGCGGGAAGCAGCATGTCGGGGTACTGCGCGCGCAGAAAGTCTAAGATGTCGAGGCTGCCACTCGCAGCAGCGTTCGAGAAGGCGTCGGCGCTGCAGCCGTCGACGCGGTGCGCATGCAGCCACTCGATGACGTCCATGTGCCCACCGAGGGCAGCGCCGTCGATCGCGGCCGGCGACCCCGTGAGCGTGTGCAGTGGACTTGCATGGAGCCACTGGACGAGCGCGAGGTGGCCATTTGCAGCGGCGACGTCCAGCGCATTCGTATCGCGGAACGCGAGGCGAGGCGCATACTGGACGACGAGAAGGTACCCTCGCTGGACTGCGCGGTCGCCGTCTTCCCAGTCGGCGAGGCGCAGACCTGGTTCATAGCGCAGGACTTCACCAAGGAGCGCCGGGCTCAAGAGGACTTGCGCGGTGACCGGCCCGAGCGTCGGCTTGGCGTGCTTGGCAACGGGCTCGGCCATTTTTCGAGTTCAAGATCTCCGTGCCATTTAACCGGATGATCCGGATATCGTTGGTGCCGAACTTCGAAATTCGAATGTGGTCCAGATCGAATATCGACTTGATACTTTGAAGGACTCATCGAAACATCCACGCCGCAGCTCAGCTCCACCGTGTGGACTTTGCAGGCGACTGGTGCGTACGAGCCTGGTTGCGTGCAGTCCGACAGCGTTTTGAAAGTTATATAAATCGTTTCTAAGCCTTTCAGCTTGACACAACTTGTACAATTTAGGACTTCTCGATACGTAAAAGCTGCAGTTGCCGAGAAACGTCTTTGGCGCCAGTATCCAAACGTATTGTTCAAGTTGAAGCGACATAGATGTGTCGTTGCATTGTCGCTCGGCCCGTTGCTCGTCCGAAGCGCCTGTCGTTATTCTTGATTCAGCAGCGTCATGCGTGGTCCGGAGTACTCGGAGCAAATGCGCCGCGCAGTTATTTCCAAGGCCGCCGCTGGCAAGACCCAAGGTGCAATCTCCAAGGAGCTCGAGATCCCGGCCTCGTCAGTGGGCAACATCATACGCCATTTCAAGGCCTGCCGTACACTGGCACCCGCGCCACGCTCGGGGCGGCCTCGCAAAACCAACCTTCGCACCGACCGCATGCTGAAGCGCGATGGCCTTGGCAACCACCAGCCAAGCGTTCCCGAGTTGCTTCGTCAGCTCAAAGAAATGACCGGTGTGACGTTGTCCGCGAGCACGATCCGCCGCCGCATCCACACCACCGACCTCCGTGGTCGCGCTGCGAGCTAGAAACCATGCCGACAACCAGCCAAATCGTCCCCGTCAAAGAAACGATGTACTACGACATGATGATAAACTGACGACTAACTAACTATATTTTTTTGGAGAGGCAGTGTACGGCATCAACATGTAGAGTTCAAGAATGTCTAGTAGGTTGCTCGACTAGACATCGGAGGTACGTCACAGCGAGGAGAGGCAGAGAATGTGTACCATATTCATCATCTTCTTGATATATATTAGTGTACGTAGGATGCAGACAGAAGCTACGCCATGGCCGCCATGACATAGTCGACGGGCGCCTTTGCCGTGTCGTCGACGACCTCGAGCTTGGCCGCAGGTTGGACGCTGGGTCGTGCTGTGGCGATGCGCATCTCGTGCAAGACGAGAGCCATGGTCGTCTTGACCGCTTCGATGCGGCAGACACGCGCGTGGATTTCGCGGCAGAGAGAACGGTGGCGCATCGTCGAGCGGAGCTGGCCCAGCACGGCATTGAACCGGCGGTGTTGGACACAGGCGCGGAGCCGAGGCGCGAGCACCGGCCACGCCACGCAGCGAAAGCGATGGACCTTGAGGTGCCAAACGACATCGAGGAACCGGCTGCGCCACACAAGGTGCCGGCAGTACTCGAGGACTCGCTTCAGAGAGCGCGCACCGTGGGGTAGGCGCAGCACGGCCTGGAAGCGAGCGTTGCGACTGCGCTCCTCGGCGACGAAGACTTGCTCCTGCCAAGAAAAGTACGTGTCACAGACGCACTTGATCGAGTCGCAGCCGTCGCCGCGTACGATCGGGATGTTGCACTCGGGACAGAGCACGACGGTGTTGCGCTCCGACGCTTCGCCAGCGTCGCAGATCTCGTGATGACCGGCCGTCTTGCAGCCAAAGCAGACAGCCTTACCGCAGCAGGGCGTGAATACGAGCCGCGTCTTGTGCAGCTCATACATGGCAAACGTGGCGCGACGTTCCGGGTCGTGGATGAGCTGCAGCGTGTGCATGTAGACGACGTCGGCGTAGTCGGAAAAGGTCGACCGAATGTAGTCGAAGAGCGTCGACGCGGCAAGCTTGTAGCGCACGAACTTGGTGCCAAGGCGACGGAGCCACGGCAGCTTTTGCCGCAGCGTCTTGGGCAAGCGCAATGGCGACATTGGTCGCGACGACCACGCATCAACGAACGGCGTCGATTCGTCGCAGTGGGGGCAGCGGAGCTCGGACGCGGCAAAGACGCACTTGGCCGCGTACTCGAGGAGATCCGGCTGCACGTAGGGCATGTACTTGTGCTTTGGCATCGGCACGAGGCAAATGGGGCAGTGCGCTTTGGTGAGGAGCCCGGGAAGGAAGGCGGAGAGGTGGTGGTCAAAGTAAGCCTCCGTGCACTCGACGCAGAGGTGGGCGGCGCACGTGTCACCGCAGAGCTTAATGACGCTCTCCCAGAGCGGGACGGGCTCCAAGCACACGTCGCAGCAACGGGCGGATGTGTCCATGGGATGGTCGGTGGTCATGGCAAGTTGCAGTGTGGGGCAGCCGAACCAAGGCCGAAAATATCGAACGAAAGGAATGTTGATCCTCGAACGATATTCGAACGTGCCGCAGCGGCCATCTGGTGCTGCCACGTATTGCCGGCAAGCGAAACCGCGCACTTGAATGATTTGCCGCCCGCGTCGTCCCGCGCGACCCACACTCAGTTGGTATGAGCTATTGTTCCCTCCGTCGCTTCGCTCTCTCCACGACGGCCTCCAGAGTGCTGTCGCTCCTTCGATGTGTTGAACCCAAGCGTTCGCTCCGCTGATACCAAAGCGGCGTTGGTACATCCTCTTTCAATCACATGGATCGAGTTGTAGTAGTGTGTTCTAGGCTAATATCGTTTACGGCTTCTTGGGCTTGATGCGGTGGAAGACCGAGTTGAGGGGGCGCGCAAAGCGCAGTGTGTGGAGCGTGTAGATGCTCGACGTCAAAAGCACGAGCGCGCCGGTTTGGTGCGCGACCGCGAGCGGCACGGGCACGCAGTTGAGGAGCGTCGTAATACCGAGCGCGACCTGGCCACCCACCGCCGCCAAGTTGAGGTTGAGCGCGGTCTTGGCCGGCGCGGGCAGCTGCCACCACACGTTCGGGTGCCGCGCGAGGCCGTACGCGGTGCAAAAGCCCGCGAGCGTCGTCATCGCCAGCACGCGGTGGTCAAACTGCACGAGCGGCGTGTTCTCGAAAAAGTTGCGCCACTTGGGCTCGATGGCCAAGAGGTCGTCCGGGATCCACTGCCCGTCCATCTTGGGGAACGTGTTGAAGGCCATGCCGGCGTCAATGCCCGCGACGAACGCGCCCGAGAGGATCGTAAAGGCGAGGACACTCGTCGTGTGCTTGAGTGCAGACCGGACCTTGAGCATACGCTTGAGCGCGTCCGGCGTGATCGTGTCGCGCTCGAGGTTGAGGCGCTCGGGGAGTGCCGGCTTGAGGATCGAGAGACCTGTCCACGTCAAGAGACCGCACGTCGTAAAGGCGAGTGCAAGCTACGCAATTATGTAGCATACGTGTGGGATGCACCAAGATAGAGACGTACGTGCGTCGCAAGGCGGTACGGGCTTACGCGAATCTCCTTGCGGTTGGCCGCGTCGACGTCTTCGAGGCCACTGCGGACCATCCACCAGCCGACAAGACCCTATGTTGTGGTGTGGTTTCTGCCATGCTACGTTGAAGTTGATGGGTACCTGGAAGCCACCGAGGCCAAAGAGGAACGCCATGCGGCCGTACATCTCCTTGGGCATGCGCTTCCGCAGCAAAAAGTACGCGAGCGGCCCCGCAAAGGTAAGGCCGATGACACGGCCGAGCATGCGGTGGCTGTACTCCCAAAAGTAAATGCCCTTGAACTCGTCGACGGTCATGTTCTTGCGCGTCTGCCACTCGGGAAACGTCTTGTAGAGCTCAAACTCTTGGTTCCACTCTTCCGCACTCATGGGCGGGAGACCGCCGTGCGGCTTCCATGTGACCATCGAGAGGCCCGAGCGCGTCAAGCGCGTCGCACCGCCCACCGCGACCATCGTGCCCACCATGCCAGCGCAGCCAAAGAGCCAAAAGGCGATCGGACGGTTCGCCGCCACGTTCTCGAGTGTTGCCGCCACCGAGCTCTAACATTGCATAAGATCTGATTGCAAGATGGGGCAAGATCGCACCATGAACTTGGGCTTGTTGAGCGCCGGCGCGAGGAGGCGCGCCGCGGGCGCGCGGCAAGCGATGGTTTGGTGCACCTACAGCATTCCATTGCATGAGCTATTGCTGTAGCGGCTACATGCGTCGTCGCACCGAAGAGTGCACAATGCGCGACGAGCGCAAGACAGCGCGGGATCGGGCGAACATGGTCGGCTAGCTCAGCTTTGCAAGAATGGCCGCCAGCGCTGCAACAGCAATCCATGCCGTATCCGGATCTGTCACGCGAAAACTGCAGTCGTGGTGGCCTTTCTTGTACTTGCATTTTGTATGGGGTCGTGACCGCCCTCGGTTTCGACTTGCTGTTTGTATTGTGAATTCCGCGGACTTCGACGCGTTTTTTATTATTTTACGCCGTTCGTATCCGGAATCGACGCCGCCGCAACGTTTTTCTGTGTCGGCGCGCCACTTTTGACCAGCGTGTCTATTGCGCGGTAAAAGCGCTCGACGGCGCGCTAAACGACGGGCCGCCGCCAAGTCTGAAACTGAAGATGCTTGGTCCGAGGTACCTCGACGTCGACGAGACGCATGCCACATTTGAACGAGTGGTGAAGCTACGCGGCAAAGAGATCCCAGCCATAACGCGCGTCCACGCTGCCCATGCTGCATAAAACCTCGCGCTTCAGAACTACCAAGTCGCAGTCCATGACTGAGTCCAAGGTCTTGAAACACCCACGGTCTCACCTGCGCGATCAAGAGGACGCGGACTTCGTTGCACGCCGCCAGCCAGGGTGGCCCACGAACGTTGGGCCGACCACAGATATTTGGGTCCCCCCACAGATCAAATCGACACCCCCAGGCCCCACCCCTACTCCTTGTGCCCAGCTGGGCATCAAGTCTCCGTGCGACGTGGCACCGTGTTGCGCTGAGGCGAAGGCGATGACGTAGTCAAGCTTCCGTGGCAAGCTCCAGCAACAAGTACACTGAGGTGAGCTTGATGCACGTGCTGATCGACGACCTACTCGTTCCTCTTGAGGTGAAGGGCAAAATCACAAGCTGTGTTGAAAGCAGTCGGCGCGGAGAACGTTCCGGGTGCATGCTTTGGTTGCAAGGGTGGGATTGGTGTGCTGGTCTTTGTCGCTGCACCGTGGCAGCTGCATGAAGGCACAAGAATGCCACGCCCCCATGGACCACAAGCCGCAGAGGTCGTCCTCGTGGTTTGCATCAGCCTTTGACCAAAGCTGGATTTCAGCGTCAACGTTAGCAATAACTCACGGGCAGCTCTCCCAGGCGATTTGTCATGTGCGCTTCAATGCTCGTCCCTACGCCATGCGCTTCAACCCATGCCGCTCCCACTCATTCGAGGCCTTCTCTTCAGCAGGTCATGCTAACCACACAAAGACAGCCATGTGACGGGTCGTCCGATCAAGAGCCAAAGCCAAGCAGCGTCGAGTGACTACTTCTGCCCCACGATTGCTCTACCGGCGGGAAATCCTCTTCGCTAGTCAAGCCGGTTATCCATTACGCCACCATGAGCGCCTGCATCAACCGGAAAAGTACCCAATGTCCACCTCCATTTTGGACCAATAGCAATGCACTTGTATTTTGGCCAATCACACGCGGCGCTCAATAGATCGACGCATGGCTCATTTGGGAATTTCCGCCATGGTAGCGACCCCCGACCAAATCGTAGGACGACCGACGCGCTTCCTCGGCGACGAGCGACCGCATGGAGCGAAGGACGGAGGTTGACGGTCTGTATGTGTAGGCGTGGTTCCTCATCTTCGTGCTGGTCTTCGTGTCCTTCTACATTTTCACGAGCCCATTCGTCGAGAACCGCGAGCTCCTCAACCGATGGACGCCATACGTGTACGTCTCGATGGGCCTCTACACGTGGCTCCTCTTGGCCGCTGTCGTGCACGTGCCCCTCACGCAGCTGGGCATGCTCGAGTATGACGTCAAGCAGCCGGTGCGTCGACCTCGTCGACCATGTCCATCATCATGATATTGTTTCCTAGATTTCGCTCTTCTTGCCCATCTTCTTCAGCTCCATTGTCATCCTCGGCGGGTTCCAGTCGATTCTGTACTTGCTCATGCGCTATGGCTGGGTCAAGCACTTCTCAAGCCTCTCGTACGGTCACCACGTCCATGTTGCAGTGCGTCACGCCTTGGCTTGTAGGTTCAACCGCGTTCTCTCCAACATCCTGCGCAACAGTGCTGCCGTCAGTGTCATGTGCTGCGCCTTGCTCGTGCATTGCGACGCCGCCGATGACGACTCGGCCATCCCCAAGACATACAACCGACACGTGTGCGAGCAGTTCTTCGGCGTCTCGGGCACCAAGATCCCCGTGCCCCAAAGGTGTTCCTTTACTACTGCCAAATGAACCTCATCTCATGCATCATAATGCGTAGCTACCAAGGCGGTCTCTTCATTTGGATCACAGGTCTCAGCTTGGCCATGGTCAACTTGGTCATGGAGCGTCTCGTGGGCTTCCGCATGCTCGAGCTCAACTGGAACAACTCCGAGGCGGACGAGGAGGAGGATGAGCACGATGTGGAGCACTCCAAGCTCCCGGCCGAGCACGCGCTGCCCATGGTGCCGTGGTACTCGATGTTTGTCTTTGACACGGCGTTCGAGGTACGCTCCCTCACTCCATCTCGCTCATGTGATGTTCACATCTCTTCTGCCTAGCTTCTCATCTCGCTCAAGATCTTCCTCGGGCGCTTTGACATGCGCGCCATGCAAGCTGCCATCCACCCCAACTACGAGGTACACGATATACTCCTCGGCGACAATCGCTGGACTCAATGCGTAGGACTACATGTTTGACCACTTGGCCGAGAAGGACGACTTGTGGCTCGATTTCATGGGCGACTGCGGCGACGGCTTCAACAGCAGCTACCAAGTCGCGCGCTCGCTGGCGCAGCCCCAGCTCGACGTCGAGGTGCCGCCCAATTCGCCCCTGGCGGACCAGGCCAAGATGCTGACACTGCCGCGCGGCGACTGCCTCGTCATTGGCGGGGACCTTGCGTACCCGCACCCTTGTGCCGAGACGTACGAGGTACTGCGTCCATTCTTTCTACGGCTTTGTGTTCTAAGGGTTCTTAGTCGCGCTTCTGGCGCACCTTTGAGTACGCGATGAAGCCACCGCTTTGCTACGACCCCGCGGCCGTCTCGACGCAGAAGCCCGTGCTGCCGCCGGGCTGCAAGACGCTCAAAGATTACAAAGGTCCGACGTGCTTTGCGATTCCGGGCAACCACGACTGGTTCGATGGGCTCAACACGTACAAGCGGTTCGTGTGCCACCGCGACTGGCTCGGGGGGTGGCATCTGCCGCAGCAAACGAGCTACTTTTGCCTCAAGCTTCCGCACGGCTGGTGGCTCTTTGCGTGCGACCTTGCGCTCGAGAACGACATCAACGATGAGCAGTTTGCTTGCTTTGAAGCGATTGCGAAGAACCACCTGCAGGACTCGGATCGCGTCATTGTCGTGACGCACGAGCCCAACTGGATCCTCGATCAGTACGAGCACCAGCGCACGGAAGAGAAGCTGCAGTACCTCATGACCAAGGTCCTCGCCGGCCGCGTCGTGCTTCGGTGCGTCATGTCCCCGCGTCGCGCGGCTCACGATCCGCTATAGGTTGGCAGGTGATATTCACAACTACACGCGCCACTCGCTTTTCGAAGCGCCCACGATTCCGGCGCCCAAGCCGACGACACCGCGCCCGCGCAAGCTCTCGATCAACACGTCCATGACCCCCGACGACATTGTACGTCTCATCACAGACGGTGCATGCTATTTACGTGGCGCATATAGACGGCGATGGCGCCCTTCTCGCCCATCCACAAGCATTTCCCGCACATGGAAGAGAAGCGTTTTCTCGACATGCAGCTCGATATGGAGCCGATGCTTGATCCGCCGCAGGGGCACCCGGAGGGCGGCCCCGTCCACCTCATCGTGTCGGGCGGCGGCGGCGCCTTCTTGCACCCGACGCACGTCCCGAGTGGCGAGAATCTGTTTGCAAACGACAAGCACTACCAGCGCGCGTCGTGCTACCCGTCCGAGAAAGTTTCCCGGTACGTCATTCCATAACCAAGGGATCTCACAGCGCCGCCGTAGCCGCTATGCCCTTCTCAACATCTTTGGCTTCCGTCGCCGCAACTGGCGCTTTGACTTTGTCGGCGGTGTCGGCGTACGCTGCACATTCTCTTGCCTATCGATCTCTTATGCACATCGACTAGTACTACATGCTGGCAGTCTCCATGTTCCCCCGCTGCTCGGTGGGCGAGATCTACGAGGTAACGACGACTCGGTCCCGTCCTGCGGCTCATCGCAGATATGCGTAGAGTGCGACGTGGCGCGGCGTGTTTTCCAACTTTTTCTGGGAGCTCGTTGCGATGCAGGGCGAGGTCTTTACTTCGTCGTATGTGAGTTTGGCGTCGTACCTCGTGCTCTTTATCGTGCATTTGCTCTTCGCTGACACGCCGTCGTTCCCGAAGAAGGCTGCGATCAGCTTGGTCATGTCGCTCGCGCACACGACGGCGGCGTTTAGCGTGCTCATTGCGTTTGAAGCCATGTTCCAAGCCGCGACCGACCAGTACGTCTTTCCTTTTGCCTATGGACGGTGCTCATCGACTTGGTAGAGGGGCGCTTGCCAACGAAGGGCTCTACTCACTGTACAACTACTTCAACGCGCATGTGCCCAACATGCTCCAGCTGCACGCGTACGACTACTTCAACGTCATCCCGCTCTACTCGACATGTGTCAAGTATCTCTTGACGTTCTTTGACATTCCCGAAGTCGTCGCCGTCCACCGCATGAAGGTTTACTTCCTTCTGTGGCGTGGGCCTTTATCAAATGTGTGCGTAGATTTGCTACGAGGGGTTTGACGCGCTCTCGCGCATTGAGGCGAGTGTCTACTACTACTCTGTGTTCATGTACTTTTGGGTCGCGGTACGCAGCCATCATTCGAGGTGAAATATGCAGAAGTGGCGTAGGCAACGCCGATCTGCGGTGTCATTGTCGGGTTGTATCTCTACACGGCGCTCAACGTCTTCAAGAGCCACTACAACGAGGCGTTTTCGTCGCTCCGCGTCGCCAGCTACAAGAACTTTGTGCGCATGCGCTTCACGCCCGACGGCAACTTGGAAATCTATGCGCTTGGCATTGACAAGATGCCGCAAAAGTGGGTTCGGTACGTCCCTGCGCGAGACACGTTGCAGGCTACAACACGATGGTGTAGCGATCCCAAGTGGAGCGGTGCGGCCGAGGCGCGCAAGCTCAACCCGTCGCCGTCGTACGAGTGGAAGTACCCCAACTACTGGAAGCCCAAGATTTCCAAAGTCGACAACATTCTGCGCTTCGACATGGAGGACGAGCAGTTCGACGCCAAGTTTAGCACCGAAGACCGGTCGCGCATCAAGCTTGTCGACCACGTTGTGTACTACAAGAACAACCCGAGCCGCCCGGGGACGCCCGCGCGCACCCCGACGTACGAGTAGTCTTGGCCATCAATCCAGCGTGCCTTGCCTCCATGCATGCGTCGAGGTTGTCTATTTACAGCACGATGCGGGCTACGTCTCTTCGTCGGGCAGAAACACGAGCTGCTTGGGGAGACACGCGAGGTCAAACTCGCCGAGTCCAATTTCTTGGACGACGTTGAGCATTGTGTTTTCCAGCACGAGGCTCGCAATGCGTCGAAAGTCGTCTTCGACCAGCAGCCGCCCCAGACGCGCGCGCCGCTTGTCGCACGCCGGCTGGCCAAACTGCACAAAGTACGGCGTCTCGGGCTCGGTCGGCAAGAGCTCGTCGACCGCCTACGTCGTCGCGTCAGCGTCCAAGGGAAAGTTCATATTGCCGACCTGGTCGATCGTGCCCGTGCCAAAGAGGTCGGTCACAAGGTGGCTCAAGACGCCTTCGATGACGTGCCGGCTCTCGCTCATCGCCGCCGGGTCCTTTGTCACGCGCCACGCTGTCCGGAGCGCCTCGAGGTCGTCGGCCCGCCGCGTCTCGCCGCTCGGAATCGCCAGCGGCCGGCGCTCGAAATCCTCGCGCGTCAGCTGTCGTCGAAACGTCTCGAGCGGCAGGACGTGGGCAAACACGTGGATGTACAGTGGCTGCAGCACTTTGCTGCCGCGCAACGTCTCGTCCGACTCGGCGGCGTCCGAGCCGTCACCAAACCTGGCCTTGCGCGACGAGTTGCCGCGCGTCTAGCACCCGCGCATCAGGATGAATGATGCAATGGATCGATGCAGCGGATACGTACCGGGCTCGGCTTCCGACGAGGGCCCTTGGGACTGCGCATGCCGGACGCTGGCGCTGGTTTGGGCTTGAGCTTTGGCAGCGCGAGGGCGAGTGGCGGCGTGTAGTCTTCGGTAGTCGCGGGCTCGTCGCGACTAAAGTGTGCGCGCGACGAGATCGTCGTGCGCGTGAGCACGGACGGTCGCGTGTCGCTCGGCTTGGCTTCTCGTGTCGTCTTGGCGCTCTCGAGTGTCGAGGACGCGGCCGCGTCATGGAGCAGCCGGACCCAGCACGCAATGTCGTGATCGATCACGAGTAAGTCGGCGGCCGGCGCGACCGTGACGCGCACCATGCAGTGCTCGAGCGGCGAGAGTCGTCCTTGCATCGGGAAGAACCGCACGCGGTTCGCGTGCACCAAGTGGTGGTTGGCGTCCCACGCAAAGCTCAGCGTCGCCGTCGCGCTCAGGTTTGTGAGTACGACAAGCCGCGTGTGCTCCGTGTGCACACACACATGCCCAAGGTCCAGCACGTCGCAGCTCAGCGCCGCGCGGGACTCGGGCGGTGCCTTTTGAACTGTAGGCGGCCCGCCGCGCACGATGCTGTCGCGCGTCATGGCAAAGCTCGTCTTGCTGGCGTCGTACCCGCGCGCGGTGATCGGCAGCTTGAACTGCTCCTGGTACCCCGACTCGAGCCCCTCGACGCTCAGTAGCAACGTGCCGTGGTACGTGAGCTGCTCGAGCGGGCAAAACTCGAGGTCGAGAAACACCGACGCGTTGGGCGGCACCGAGACGCGCTGCGTGAGGCACTCGAGGATCGGGAAGTTGTGGCTCGTCGCGTTGATGCGCGCGAGGTCGGCGTCGTCGATGTCGAGAAGGAAGGGTGCGTCGCCACGGTTGAAGACCTGGAACTGCTGCAGCGCTGGCCGCGCATGCAGATGCTCCTTCCGCCCGCTCTCGCTTAGCATGACGGGCGAGAGCACCCAGTTGGTGCGTGGTAGAAAGAGAAGGGGAGACGCTTTGGGCAGCGTCCGGCCGTGGAGCGATAGCATCATCTTCTTGCCTTGCGAGACCGACACGAGCAGCTGGAGGTCGTGGACGCCGTCGTACTGCATGGACGCGTACGCGTACGAGAGACGGAGCAGAAGACTCTCGTGCGGCTGCAAGACCCCTAGTACCCTCTACCTGGGACCACGGTATCGTACAAGGATACGCACCTTTGCGCGGTGCGACGGTGAAGAGCTTGGAGTCGATAATGATGTTTTGCCGCAGCTCGTCCGTCGTCGGCTCGCTCGTGTCGGCCCACGGCTCAATCTCAATGTCCGACTCGTTGGGGTAAAAGATGCGAAAGTCAACGACAAGCGAGCCCGGGTTGCGCAGCTGAATGACCACGTCTTCGGTATGCGTGCCGATGACGTTGGGCGTGAACCGCAACGGAAACACCTTGAGCAAGCTCAAATCGGGGCTGCTCTCGCTGTTGAGTTTGAGTTCGTCGTTGGTGAGCGGCGCGGCCATGAACGCGTTGATCTCTTCGCACTGAAACTGCGCCCACGCGACGGCTGTCGGCGTCTGCGCCAAGCGAATGTCTTCGAAAAAGAGCGTCGGAAACGACGCACTTGCGTGTACTTGCATCTCGACGCAGTTGACACTGTCGTCGTCGCCATGGTGCGACGGCAGCACGACGGCGTCGAGCGTGGCTATTGCGCACTGGATACCATAGTCGTAGCTGCCCGCGAGGTCGCCGCGAAACGCAATCCCCACTTGCTGCGTCGAACGCGCGCCGATGACGCCGCTCGGTTTTGAAAAGGAAACGTACGTGGCCGCCAACTTCTTGTCCAGGTGGGGCCGCGCCATGAGCTTGGACGAGTCGAGCACCGTCACGCGGAGCTCGAATTGGAGATCGCAGTCGCTGCCGTTCACGAGCTGGAACGGCCCGGTCGCATCCGAGTTGACAAGGACCGTCGGTAGCGTGAGCTCGGCGGGCTCAAACGCGACAGCACCCGTCGTGCCGACGCCCGTGACCTTGATCGAGACGTCTTGGAGAATCGGGAGATGGGACGACGGTGGCTCCCCGCGCGCCATCGAGATGGACTTGACGTGCAGCGTGAGCCGCTGGTTGTACTGTTTGATGAGCGACGGCGCAAACACGCACGCAATGACGCTGGCTTCGTTCCCGAGGAGCCGGTGGACAAGCGGCGAGAGCTGAAAGACGTCTTGGACCGACGGCGGAAGGCTCCACCGAAACACGAGCGGGATGCGGCACCCGTTCTTGACGCGGAAGAGCCGCGTCGATGAGAGGCCAATCGACGTGGGCTTGATAAAGAGCTTGTCGATCGCGGGGCCGCCGTCCAGCTCTTGGCAAATCAAATGCGGAAAGCAGCCCGTGCCTGTGAGCTCGAGGGCCACCGACGTCGAGTGGTTCACGGTCGTCTTGAGCATGTGCGAGTAGCGTCGGCTCTTTGTTGGGCTGAACCGAATCTGCACCAAGTGAAACCCATTCGGCGGGATCAAACCGCAGCTGGGCTTGGCGCGGAAGACGCGCGACGGGTCCTGCGTGATCGCAAAGACGGCCGGCGTATCGCTGCTGTTCATGAGCACGACGGTTTGAAACACCGAGTCGCCAATGAACGCCGGCGGGAACGCGCAAAGCCCGTCCTTCGCCGTCGCGTACGTCACACGGGAGAGAAACTGGCTGTCGGTCGACGCAAATGTGTGCCCCGTCGCCTGCACGACGATGCACCTATCAGAACATATTCCATGTAGCAATGTATCAACGTATCAAGCGGCGTACCACGGCGGCGTGAACGTCTCGGGGTTTACGAGCCGAAACGTGCGGTTGGACTTGAAGTAGACGCTGCTTTCGAGCTCGGCAAAGAAGTACGTGTTACTCTGCTTGGGGTGGAAGCCGACGCGGAACTCGGCCGACGCGCCCGGACCAATGTCGCACGTCGTCGGAAAGATGGTGAAGTTGCTGCTCTCGACCGCCGTCGGCGCTTCGGCGATGCGCCACGTACACGTGACCTTGCCGCGTGTTTGGTTGGTCACAAGCAGTGTCTTCTTGATGTCAAAGCCGACGCCAAAGTCGAGGAGCGCGTCGGACGCAAAGATGGCGCCATGCCGGTCGTCGGGCTGAATGAAAAACTCATGGCACACGTCGACGTCGGCGAGGAGCATGTCGCCGCTCCGCGTGAGGAGGCGCGTCGTCTCCCTTCGGCTGGCGGCCTCACGCTGGCGAGCCAACGCTCCTTGGAGAAAGAGCTCGTCGCCCTTGTCGCCCCAGAGTGCTTCCAGCCCATCCGGGGACAGATGGCCCCTACGCATGTTGGCATCTCGAACGACAGAGAGATCACGTACAAGTTGTGCTCGCAGCGGAGACGGTAGGCGTCGACATGCCCCTGCTCGAAGGGCGACGGGCGGATCTCGGCGTCGTAGCCCGTGCCGAGCACGTCGACAAACATGGTGGCTTGGTTCTGCAGCAGGCAAAAGAGGCGTCGGTAGTAGTTGCCGGGCGAGAGCGGGGCAAACGTCAGGAGCACGGACGCCTCGAGAAGCGGCGGGATCTCGCCCGCGACCTTGCTCACGCCAAAGATGCCGTTGGCTGCACTCACCAGGTGAAATCGAACCGGAATCGCGGCTTCGTTCCGGAGGTACAGGACGCGGGTCGCGGTCTCGCCGACGCGGACGTCGCGGAAGTTGACCGAGTGGCCGCTCACGAGGTTGGACGCGCGGTTCTTCTTCCAGAGCGACACGAGCGGCCCGATGGCTTTGCCCTTGCAGACAATGTGCGCAGCGTGCCCGCCGGGAGTCACAATCTTAAAGTTGTCGCACGTGAACGTGCCCGGGCTCAACGGCGTGTATTTGACGCGGATCGGCAGCGCCGACTCGGGCGGGATCGTGCCTTTGAGCGGCGAGAAGAAGAACGTCGGCTCGTGGTCTGTCTCGATGGGGAAAATCTAGTATCAAGGTTGTATCAAGTTTGTATCAATAAAGGAGCCCGTACGTGGAAAGAGGCGCGGACAAGCGACCGGTTGCGCAGAACAAACTCGCGCTCGGTCGGGCTCTTGTGCGTCGAGGGTCCGTTGACGAGCATGTCGCCAAAGTCCAGTTCGGTCTCGGAGGTAGCAAAGTAGGCGAATTTCCCAATTCCACTGATCTTGAGCGTCGTCTCCTGGTGCTGGTGCGTCTCGCCGAGCTCCTACCTCATCATCATCGCTTCAACGAGGCGTGTCGACGCGAGCACGGGCGTACGTGCGCCGCAAAGAGGGCTGTGACCACGTACACGGACGCGGTCCGTGGGGCAAACCTCGCCGTCACATCGAGCACTTGACCCGCCTTGATCTCGCCGCTCGACGGGGTGATCTTGAACGGCCGCCCATGCTCCCCGGCGTCTACATCTCATGTAGCAAGAGCCATGCTGCCTCGCATAAGTGTACCGGGGAGGCTCCACCGAAAGCTCGCATCGATTTGGCCCGTGCTCTTGAGCTGGAAGACAACATCGGTCGTCTCGGCGGTCGGGCAAAAGCCAAAGTCGAGGCCGGACGGAAGCTCGACCCGCAGCATGGCAATGCGCGCTTTGACCGGCAGGCGAAACGTGCCATTGGTGGCCTTGACGCCGCCGTCGATGATGTGGACCGTGAAGCGGATACAGTCGTCGTACTCTTCGTACTGGACCGGGCGGAATGCAATGTCGAGGACGCGCGACGTGCCCGGCGAGAGCGTAATGAGCAGTGGAAAGTCCATGGAAAAGTACTTGGTGCGCGGCAGATCGTACTTGAACTTGATGGTTTTGTTGGAGACGTTCTTGACGACGAGCTTCTTGGTGTGCTCGCCGCCCGGCGCCCACGCGCCTGCGCCAAAGAGGATCTCGTCGCCGCAGTCGATGCCATACACGCGCGCCTGCTCGACGCGGTTGAGCACCGCTTCGTCGGCCATCGCCCGACGACAAAATGACCGTTTCCAAGATACGCAACCTTTCGCCATCCTGCATGAAGCGTCGCCCTCGACAGGCCAACGCTACTGCTGCTGCACTGCGACTGCTATGACCTCGGCATGAGGCCAATGCAGTGGGCCATCGCGTTGGTCGCCAAAGCCAACGCGAGCCAAAGACGGATGCCATGATCGACGACCTGCCATCACCAGCGGCTGCACGGCTTTGCATCGCTGCTATCGCTGCTTGCATAGACACGGTTCTTGCCATGTCGCGAGGGTGATGATGAGCGCGGTGCTAGTATACCTCTGCCGGTGATTCTCGTCGACGTCGCTGCGACCACAGCGGCGCACGGTGACTTGCACCCACTGCCTAATGTCGCAGCACTGCCAAGATCGAGGTCGAGGCATGCGCCGCCGCGAGCATGCATGTAGCCGCAGCGGCCGCATCTCGGCAGCGCCCATCGTCTTCCTCCTCGTCGCTACGTGGATCTTCCGCGGCCGCCGATCCCACGGCGACGAGCAATTAAAAAGCTCCCGACTTCAACGTCGATCTATCCACTTGATGTTTGTATGCGGAAGAATAAAAATACGCGCCGGCGGTCATTCTGCGAGATTTGGCAAGTCGGCGGTCGTCATGTGGTCGAAAGGCGAGACGACGCCGCTGCTCTCGGCGTCGATGCGCCTGGACGAAGACCGCTTCTACATGGGCATGGACAAGCACACGCTCCTCAACACGCCCGAGAGCGGCCTCTCGACCGTCGAGGCCGCGCGCCGCCTCAAGCAGTTTGGCCCGAACGAGTTTGAAGCGCCGGATGCGGCGTCATGGCGCCGCTTGGCCGGCCACTTTGTCGGTCCAATGCCGTTGCTGCTCTGGCTCGTCATAGCTCTCGAGCTCGTGACACAGGACGTACCCGACCTCGCCGTCCTCATCTTTCTCCAAGTCCTCAACGGCGTCGTGGGCTGGATCGAAGACGCCAAAACGGCCCATGCGCTGCTCGCGCTCAAGGCCGCGCTCAAGCCCGAGGCGCAAGTCATTCGCGACGGCGTTCACCAAACGATCAATGCGTCGCTGCTAGTGCCCGGCGACAGGCTCACGCTCACGGTCGGCTGCGCGGTCCCCGCCGACTGCGACCTCTGCGATGGGTCGCCGATCCAGGTCGACCAAAGCGCGCTCACGGGCGAGTCGTTTCCCGTGACGCTGCATGCTGGCGACAACGTCAAGATGGGCTCGCTCGTCGTGCACGGCGACGTCGAGGCCATCGTGTCGGCGACCGGCGCCCAGACGTTCCTCGGGCAGCACCCGCCGAGCGCCGAGTGGCATGCCAAGAACACGCTCTCGTCGCACTTTACGCACATCACCATGGCGCTCCTTCTGATCGCGATTCCTGCAGTCAGCGTCCTTCTCGGGTGTCTTCTCTACAACGGCGTGGCCCTCCTTAGTGCGCTCAGTCTTGGCCTAATCGTTGTCGTCGCCGCCGTGCCGCTCACATTGCGCAGCATATGCAGCTCCATCTTGGCCCTCGGGTCGCGCCAGCTCGCGGCGGAGAAGGTGCTCGTGACGCACCTCCAGTCGATCGAGACCATGGCCCGGCTCACGCTCGTCTGCGCCGACAAGACGGGGACGCTCACCCGCAACAAGATGGAGCTGCAGGACGACGTTCCGCTCTTTGCGCCGCACGCCTCGCGCGAAGACATCCTCGTCATGGCCGCGCTGGCCGCCAAGTGGCGCGAGCCGCCGCGCGACGCGATCGACACGCTCGTCCTCAACGCGATCGACCTCCGACCGCTGGACGCGTACACGCTGCTGGCGCACACGCCGTTCGAGCCGACGGCCAAGCGCACCGAGTCGACGATCAAGACGCACTCTGGCAAAGTGTTCAAAGTCACCAAAGGCGCACCGCACATGGTGCTCTCGCTCGCCCACAACGTCGACGACATTGCTGACGCGGTCACGTCACGCGTGCTCGACCTCGCCAAGCGCGGCGTGCGCTGCCTCGCGGTCGCGCGCACCGAAGAGGGGTGTGGCTGGGTCTTGATGGGTCTCCTCACGTTCGTGGACCCGCCCCGGCACGACACGAAGCGGTCGATCGAGCTCCTCCAGACGCACGGCATCAACCTCAAGATGCTCACGGGCGACAACGCGGCGGTCGCGATCGAAACCGCGCATTTGCTCCAAGTCGGATCGACGATTCTCGGGTCGGACGCGCCGCTGACGCCAGCCATGGTCGAGAACGCCGATGGCTTTGCCAACGTGTTCCCGGCCCACAAGGTGCGTCTTCTCACGCTCTTGTCGACGGACAAAGCCAACGTGTGCGGTGTCACCGGCAACGACGTGCAAGACGCCCCGGCGCTGCGCCTGGCACACTTGGGCATTGCGGTCGATGGCGCGAGCGACGCGGCCAAAGCTGCGTCCGATGTCGTCTTGACCAAACCGGGGCTCGCAGTGCTTTTGCATGGCGTGCTGCTGGCGCGTCACGTGTGCCAGCGCGTGACGCACTACGTCATCTACCGCGTCGCCACCGGTCTCCACGTGCTCGGCTTTGTGCTGCTGGCGACTTTGTGTTTCTCTCCGAATGGCGGTCATTTCGCACAGTTTGCCGAGCGCGTGACCAATGCGACCGCGTGGGCGGGCGCAAGTGAGGACGCGCCGGCGTCGTTCCAGCTGCCCGTGATTGCAATGGCGTTGCTCTTGCTGCTCAACGACGGCGCGATCGCGTCGACGATGGCGCAGGACGTTGTCGGGTCGCGCGCGACGCCCCAGGGATGGAGCGGACCGCGCACCGCTCTCATTGCGAGTACGCTCGGCGCGGTGAGCACGCTCAGCAGCCTTCTCTTGCTCTACTGGGCCCTCGACTCGTGGGAGACCGACAGTTTGTGGCAGCAACTCGGGCTGCGCGCGTTGTCGTACCGCCAAGTGCTCATGGTGGTGTACCTGCAGCTCTCGCTCTCGGGCTGCTTGCTCGTCTTCTCGGCGCGCACCGACTCGGTGTGCTGCTTGCAAGCGCCGAGCAAGCTCCTTGTCGCGGCCGCCAGTCTCTCGTCCGTGGCGGCGACGACGCTGTCGCTCTTTTGGCCGTTTGCCGAGATGCAGGCCATTTCGCTGCCGACCGCCGTCTTTGTGTGGGTCTACTCGCTAGTGTGGCTTCTTGTGCTCGACAGCGCCAAGGTGCTCGCACTCTCGCTCTACGAGCACGCAACGAGGAACCGCAAGCCCGCGCGCATGGAGTGGCAGCGATTGAACCGAATGCAGCTCGGCAACCTCCGGGCGGTGGCGACCGCAACGCCGCTCTCGGCCAGCTCGTCGTCGTCGCGCATGCTCCGCGACTCGTTCGTGGCGGGGCGTGCCGTGACGAGCAGTGCGTCGACGAATATGAACCTCGACCAAGCGATCGACCGCCTCGGGCGCCTTGAAGCTGAGATGAAAGCCGTGCGACATGTGATTCAAGCGGCCTCCGCCAGCACCAACTAGCCGCCATCCTAGACAACGTGTACATAGTAGGCGAAGACTGCAGACGACGTGTCTTGATTGTCAAAGGCTTTCGCGATGAGTCTGCTGGCGCGAACGACTGTGTACTCAGAACTTGAAGCTCCAATCTCAACATCAAATTCAAGATTGAGTAACACGTCTTGGAGTTCGATGGGTTTCGGTATGAC